AACCATGCATCTGTCGGACACCCGTATTACAGAGGGGCCAAGCCATATAAGGTTTGACCCCCCTATAATTATGGAAATATTAAGGAATTTGAACCCGACTAAGTCTCCAGGAATTGATGGGATTCACCCAAGAGTACTCAGAGGGTGTGCTGAAGTTCTGTGTGCCCCACTAGCAAACCGCTTCAAATGCTTGCTTCTGGAGGGCAAGTTACCCCCTGATTGGAAACGGGTGGCTGTCGTCCCAGTATATAAATATGGAAACAAACCACTTGCCTCCAACTACGGGCCGATATTCCTGGTTTCCTCAGTCATAAATGACTCACTTCGTGATCACTTACTTAAGAAATTGATATTAAGCGACTTTCAACATGGCTTTTCACCTGGGAGGTCATGTAACACCAATTTGTTGATAGCTTGGAATGGCTAGGCTCTCCGTTGAGTCGGAAAAGCCCATTCGCACTGGTTTTCTTGACTTTCCCGAGGCTTTTGACAGGGTAAATCATGACATCCTTTGTAAGAAACTCCAGCTCATGGGTGTACACGGAAAGCCACTAACTTGGCTTACAGATTGTCTTCAAACCAGGTTGCAGTTGGTTAGAATCGGCTTATCTCTATCTAATTGGTTACCGCTGCTGAGTGGCGTGCCTCAAGGTTCTATTCTGGGCCCACTACTGTTTCTTGCTTTTATCGGTGACCTACCAGGGGTCCTTAATTCACATTCACTATTATATGCCGATGATCTGAAGAGTTGGAGGGAAATACAAGGGCCAACGGATTTTTCAATCTTCCAGGAGGACCTTACGAAAATCCTCAATTGGACTACGGAAAACCTGCTTCCCCTCAACTCGAAGAAGTGTCGAATTGTGATGGTTGACAAACATATAAGCAGTCCCAGCTCTTACTCTCTAGGTGGAATAAATATCTGTCACACTAACGTGGAACAAGATCTGGGAATTACACTAAACAATACACTAGGAGCCTCAGTTCACTGTCACCCTGCAGCCAATAGGGCTTATGGAATCCTGTCTTGCGAACCTTAGGGTGTTTAACTCCCTCTCTTTTCACCACAGTGTATGCTCTGTACATTCGTCTACATCTAGAAAAAAATTGGCTCGTTATGTCCCCATACTTGAAAAAGGACATAGCCATCCTAGAACGGGTACAGAGAAGAGCTACACAGAAAGTGATTGGGCCATGGCACAAACCGTGCGCAGACCGCTTGGTTGCTCTTCAGCTGCACCAGTACAATACCGGAGGATCGGAGGGGATATATTCATTATGTACCACATCGCCCATAATCTCCCCTATCCTAACGGATCCCTTCTAAACTTCAGTCGGAAACGCGACCTGGGGGGCCACCCGTTAAGAGTTGAGCATAAGAGATCACGTACAAAGATTTGCGCTGACTCACTTGTGGTTGCAGTCTGCAAACTGCGGAACTTCCTTCCTTTAGAGGTTGTTGCAGCACCACCACCCCAATACTTTTCAAGGGAGGTTGGAAGCAAATCTTGAGTCCTACGATACTGATGGGCTGTACTCGAGAGACTTTCCATCATCTGCAGGTCAGGTGCAGTAATACTACCTTGAGACCAAAATAATTAGTAGCCGCTTATTTCTCTCCATTCACGTCTTTCGAAACCGGGAAGATAATTGTGACCATCCCAAACCCAGAACGTATTCCGATAGGACAGACGTACGGCCTAAGGAACCGCCTTTTGCTTAGTCTACGACAGGAAGTTTGAAGTTTATGTGAAGAATGCCTTAACCATAATAGCGATTGAGACGGTGGCACATGAAAGTGAGGCATGTGAGATGCAGCGCCGCCGACTAAAATGCAAGGAACAAAATGTTGACGTAGCCGAAGCTTATCGATGTCATGAGCGTCAGACGAAGGACCTCCCCCCGAATACGCTGACTTTATGGAAAGTTAACTGCAGATGCCTGGTTGTAGCGGGCTCCGACACGTCATCAAGTGTCTGGACCAGCCGAACAAAAGAGGCATCACGTAGTTCGTCCGATCATCAGTTTGTAGCAAAAGCAGTTTCCTTGATGGTTATACAGCATGTCAGGACAGCAACCTGATACAACCATCGGTATGCCTCACCATTTCTAGGATTAATATTCGCTCACAAAAATGACGTAAGCCTAATCTGGCCCCCTTGTGCTCCCCAGCGCAAGCGGTCACGCTGTGATCTCCTTCAGATCCACGGCAGCCGTTTTATGCACTCCCGACGCCCCAGCTGAACAAATTTGCGGGAAGCGAACATGGCATCTACTAACTTTGAAGACCCTTCAGAGGGTTAGATGGCCAACTCAGAGGTTTCAGGCGACGCTGCAAGTGTGACTCAGTCTTCCATCCTATGGAGTGTCCTGGAGGGATGAAGATACTATTCTCCGCCCGTGAACAGCGAAATCCGAAGTTTGCCGCTACTCTAGAGTCTTGCCGCTCACCTTGTTACTCCCGAGGCAAAGGAGCACCACAAAACGCCTGAAATAAGTGTATTGCTGCCATCCATACTTTGACCAAATTGCGCTCCAATACTCAAGGTGACCATTTTCGCATACGAACAATAGGGATAAAAAGTTTCTCGGTATCCACATCTTATTCGAAGAGATAACAACCAACAATCTAACTGAAGACGATAAGGATATGGCTGGATATTTCGCTGAGGTATTCATCCAGTTAGATTCAGTGGATACAAATTTAACGGTGGGAGAACTGACGCCCAATCGAATAAAAGCTTCGGACATCGACCACAATGATGCATTCCAGAAATTTGGTAGTGTGGATGTAAAAAGACCGGCGAGGCTGGGAAGGCCGCGCCCAAGTTTGCTCAGAGAGCTTTCACTGTACGTATTGGCCCACTGACTGCCATGTTTAGACTGCCTCTCACCAAAGGTACACTCTTCTGTGAACGAAAAGGCTCAGCAGCCATACACCCCTACAAGGCAGGCCTTAGGAGGCACTTATCAAAATACAAACCTATAATCTTGACCAGTGCCGTGGTTAAAATGCCGGAAAGAGCAATCAAGAAAGCCATAAGGTTTCGCGTGAAAAGTGATACTTTAACGTCCCGTTCGCAGCATGGCCCTATCTTGAGTTTCTGTTGTTTGAAGAATCTCCATAGGGGCAGGGAAAGTTGAATTAAGTCCAGGGATGAAAGGACGCCTATGGATACCACGTTCAGAGACTCCAGGAAGGTGTCCGGTGGGGTATTTCACTCCTGGTTGTTCATGAGACTGTAACGTTTCGGGATCCTCGGCAGTCTACTTGCGTTGTTTTTAAGAAACAAAGAATAAGGATCCCCTTTCGGCCCTCCTTTTCGGTGTCAGTGCCGTACAGCACAGTTCTTAGTCTCTTGCCGTACCTCCTGTACGTAAGTGAACTCAAGAATATCCCTAAGTCTCCCGTAATTCTCTGGTGATGAAAAAGCTGGCGATAAATTAATGATGAGGAGGTTTTGTGTGCATCTCAGACAAATCTGAAATCCTCGTTGGTCTGGCCAGAGAGATAGCCGATCCTTATCAGTGCAATTTGGTGTGTGAGCATGCATATGGGGCACAAATACCACAAAACCAACGATACTGATAGGACCCCCTTACCCTCTTATTGACTAACACTAGCCTGGAGGTCACGGCGAACTGTCTATTGGCAGGAGTCAGAAGCTTTAGGACACTAGGCATTACTCAGGACAGTTGCAATCAAAGGCGATGATGCGTTCACTACGGTATACACATCATTGGCAGTTTTAGCTAGAAAACTGCGCATGGTCGGAAAATCCTCTTCTGAGAGGTGACTCAAACCTTCTGGAAAGAGTTCGGAACAAGACCGTTCGTATGACCCTTGAGATGGCTGGACTGACCTACGGAGAGCGATTCAAGGAGCTGAACCCCTTTGCTTTATCCTGTTGCAGAAAGAGGGGAGAACTAATCATGATATACAGGATTTCGAGAGATGTCTGTAGAAGTAATCTATTTCTCTCTCCTTTTTCCGAACAGGTGAGAGCGACTCAGAGGATATAAGAGTGGAACATAAAAGAAAAGGACGAACATAGTCTCCGTAGGATACTTATTTTCGCATCGAGGAATCAACCCATAGAACCCCCTCCCAGAGGAAGCCATGTCCGCATCATCAGTTGGCTCGTTCAACAAAGAAATGGACAAGCGGATGCCAACTGGAATAGTATCGATGCAGAACTGCAGCATTTTCTCCTGAAGTTAAAAACCTGAATGGGAATTTGGTGTAGCAACCTGAGCTAAAACCGTTGTTGGAGAAAGCTAGACCTACCACACAGTTGTCGGTTTGCAGAGTGATGATAGTATTTAAGGGATAATTGTACGATTCACAGACAATTCGCCACGAAAGTGCCGGCCGAAGAGATGTAAGCTCTGATTGGATAGTAGCATATTTGTTTATTTCAGAGGAGAGTAAAGCCGAGATAAAACACATCAGTATTCAATCAGCAATCACGCTCAGACTTGGTCTTCAAAGTTCATACAGATTCAAAACTAAATAAAAGCCATTTGTCTATCATACCTGTCCCTGAGATTCCGGATTACTTGATTCGTTTTACGGAGCTAAACTCAAGGTAATGATGACCTCAGATTATCAGTTGAAATTTCCCACCCAATAGGTTTTATTTTCTGAAACACTGGATTGCCAACACGTTGATGGTATGTTTGAAATATTTCATGCGTTATCCTTTAGGAACAAGTTACTTCTTCAATACTGAAGTCATTTTTCGTAGATAAAAAAACAAAAAGTATGTATTTCATTTACTCAAATACCTATTTGTAGTTAATAGCGAAGCGGTTTCCCTTTGCGATCACTTGGCAGTAACATATTTATCAGGTTAGATATTTTATTATTATGTATAACTCCTTACAGAGGCACTCAAACGATCCATCGCTGTTGCAAAGCAGAATCACAGGACATCAGTTTCACCTGAAGACTTTGAGAGCATTCTTGTTCAGATTGTACTTGATTTTTCAGCTTAAACATGTCATCGTCAGAAGTGAGAAATTTGTTGGTATTAATACTCGATATGACTCCTGCTACTTGGGGACTTTGCACTAATGACTTTGGATTGCCAAATTGCATTGAGGCAGCTCTTGGATTTTCCAACAGTCATCTCATGCTATCATCGTACAACGAACTAGCAGTTATAGGCGTCACACCTTCCCATACCAAGTTTATCTATCCGAATAACCTGGGACCTATCGCTGAAGCCTCAAACGATGGTCAAAATGATGCTCTGAGTTGTATGAATAACACTGTGAGGCAGCTTTCTATGAATCTGGTGACATCTTGCTCTTCTTCAAGCACTCAGATTGTTTTAGCTGGTGCTATAATCAAAGCATTGTGCTACTATCTCAGACGTTGTCGGGAATTACAACCTACTACAAGATATATGGATGATGGTTCCATGCCGTCCATGGAATTTAGTGAGGGGACTGAGAAAATTTCCGCCGGATAGTGATCATCAAATCATCTGATGACAATTCTTCCCAGTACTTGTCGCTTATGAATTCAGTTTTTACTGCTCAAAAGCTTCATGTTCCAATCGATACGTGTGTGTTACCATTACCACAAAACTTGGAGAACACGAATACGAGATCTGGATTAAACTCGTTGAGGCATTCCAGTTTACTGCAACAAGCTGCAGATTTGACCGGTGGAATTTACTTACTAGTACCAAGAGTTTCCGGTTTGCTACAGTATTTATTATCTGTTTTTTTACCATCATCTAAGATGAGATCATCTCTGTTGCTTCCTGATAGTCGATCGAGTGGTTTATCCTTTGGTGTTGACTTTCGTGCAGCTTGTTTCTGTCATAAACGATTGATCGATGTGGGTTTTGTTTGTTCTGTTTGTTTATCAGTCTTTTGCGAATTCAGCCCGATATGTTCTACATGTAGTACTCCTTTTCTTTTACCCACTGTGCAAACTATGTAAATAAACGTGTAATATACAGATTTCGTTCTCATGTTTTATTTCAGTGAAATTATTACTCATAATGTCAATCTATGTTCTAGATGTCCGGTGGACGTCCAATGGGGATGGCTGAAAAGCGTAAGGTAATGATCGTTTTGATGTATATTACTTCGATGTGTTAGTACATACTTCATCTCCTACGTTATATGTTAGTAGTATGTTATAAAATATACCAGTATCGCACTCGTAACACCTTCATCAGAGTTCGTATCTGCATGCTCACCGCGTTTCATTCTTCATCTGTTTCGTACAACTCAGTTCGTTGGTCCAGTTCTTAAGTGTAGTAGTTGAAATCTTAAGTCAGTAAATAGGAAAGAATGACTAGGAATAAAGAAGCAGAATATAGTGAAGTCTAGAGTAACAGCTGTTAGCTCATTAATTTCGTGAAACTACACTATTGAGATGGGTTTTTAGTGTGGTTGCTCATTGCATCCAAGGATTAGTTTCTATTTTTCTAGACCATTGTTTATATTATCAGTGGTAGACATTGTCGACACGGCCTCCGTGCAGACGACAGTATATTTGTCTTCAGTTAGTATACCGTCCTAATTTTGATGGGGAGGTACTAACTTATTTCAGGTACGTCTCTATATTTGAAGTGTGGGTGAGTCGAAACAATGTTTCTGGTCTTTTCAGTTGGCAGCTGTTGTGCATCGAGAATGGTAGCAGCTGAGATCAATAGATGGTGGTTTAAATAATATATCTGCAACTGTAAAATAGTTAAGGGCTTATCAGTGGGATAGTAACTGAACATCATCATCATCAGGATCAACATAGAACCAGAGATTACTGCGCAACGGTTCAACTTGCCAGCCACGCCTTATATCAACACATCAAGTAACAAGACAATCAAATGGGAAATGAAGGAAAAAAGACTAGTCAAAAAAAGTAGAAAATAGTAAAACAAGAAGGATGAATGAGAAAATGATGAGATTAAGTATAGCGGTTAACATGAGGATAGTTTGTGTATACACCCTCGCCACTCACATCGGTTCTAAACCATATCACCTAGAGTCTTCAAACATTGGTTCCTCTTGTCCAACGTAAACCAACTGGCTAGTCCACATCGTCCTACATGGCTATAATCAAAGTCAAGGACTTCATGCATTGGTACCATGTTTAAGTCTGGTCGCCCCGATCCATTTTCCACTCTGAACCTATTTCCGTTGACATTGTGCGACGACACAGACGGTGGGTGGACATACGTAACATGTGTCCCCAGACAGTTATCTCAGTCGATGAAGGTTCACAATAGCATCAACTGTCTTACCTCTCTTGCCCAAAACTCTACACCTGACTTCTGCGTTACTCACATGCTGATACCACAAAGGCAACGTGGTCAAACTCCTCAAGTCTCCTCATGTCTTCTACCCTGAATGACGGTGTTTCACAGCTACAGAGTAGAATAAGGTGGACTTCAATGTAGGACACTCGACCCTTAATAGGTAATCAGATATCTTGGTGTGGGCACAGATGGTATGAATTGGCGAAAGGTAATCGAGTTTTTTGTATTCATGTAGAGATTAAATCTGCCACTGAGTGACCAGGGCTGATCCGACTTCCCAGGTAAGTGAAGTGTTCAACGTGCTTAACCACTTCACTGTGTATTGTTAGTTGGGGTATCGTTGAAGACCAGTCATGAAGCAACATTTTGCATTTGGGTGATGAGAAACGCATCGCAAACACTCAAATCGCTACTAAAGGTATCTAGAAGACTGCATTTTGCCAGCGCCTTCACCTTACGGGACCATTTCATCGGCCAACAACCACTCGCTGACTCAGGTAGGGTGTGATGCACATTTACTAAATGAGTTCTATACTTTAATGGTGCTTGCGCTCTAAACCCACCGGTAGAAATATAAGCGTCAATATCAGCGATCCGCAGCTCGAATAATATCTAGTGTTTGTTCTATGAGAATGCACAGTGGTTATTTCTGAAGGTTTAACTAGTTAGTATAAATTTTAGCGGTTGACTTATGTTTCTTTTCATGAAATCGAAGATACTACTAGGAGATCTATCCCTTTCAGACTCCAAGTTTTGTATTACCTTCATTTGGATCGATACATGGTTGTGCCGAACTTCACATTCCGTTTGTCATGTCTAGGATTGAATTCGGGTATACGGATATAAATATAGTGGTTCTGCTGTCTGCAATCTGGAACGAACACCAGCCCCTACATGTTCGTCATATCCCCCTACGTGTTTATTTTTATTATTATTTGTCCCTGGGTTCCTAGTAGAACATAGGGCTTCAGTAGCACTTCGCTATTTCACTCTCTTCTCTGCAGTCTTTGCAACCTGGCTCCACGACTTCCCAGAAGCTTTCATTTCTTCATCACCATCTCCATGTCGCCCTCAGAGGCCCAACTCGTCGTTTTCCATTTAGCTTCCACTCGACGACCTGGCCTGGTGCGTGGTGTTCCCACAGGGCCTTCTCAGTATATGTCCGATCTAATCCATCTCCACTTTCTTCTGCATATTTGTTGGGCGACAGGTTCTTGGTTGGTTCGTTCCCAGCAAGATTTTCCTGTTGCTTATTCTTATTATTCTGGCCATCTGATCTTCAGTGTCAGTATCGAGTGAGCGTAGGTGGCAGCTATCGATGTGATGTGTGTCTGTAGTTTGTTGGAAATGCTTTCCGTAACGCGCCAAGTTTCTGAACCGTATAGAAACACTGAATTGACATTAGTGTTGAAAATCTAGATATTGTTGACGCTTTATGCTGAGTGCAGTGCAGTAGAACTCCACGCCGATTTCAGGTTAATGAACGCCCGTCTTGCTGTGTTTCCGATCGTGGCTTTGACGTCCTCATATATGTCTGTGCCGCCTGTAGTTGAGAGGATGCTGCCTAAGTATGTGGGTGAAAGATTACTTCCTTGAGGTTTCTCCCGTTAGTGGTGATTGGTGCTTGTTGTTGGTTGGGTATCTTCATCACCTCTGTCTTCTCTACGTTCACCTGAAGGAAGTCCCGTCTTCGCTGCCCTGCCTCTTCTGTCAACTTATCTTTTTTTCCTATAGATCTTCGATTCTATCTGACATTAGATATGAATCATCATCGGCGAAATTCAAATTTCTAGGATTTTTTTCATTAGCCCAGCGTATGTCCATCTCACTGCTGAGGGTTTGCTGCATAATCCAGTCGACCACAATCAGGAAGATCATCGGTGATAGTAGGCGACCCTGTCCTACTCCTATCTTCACCTCAAAGGCATCACCAGGTTTTCCGTTGTGAATCACTTGGCATGTAGAATCATATAGCGTATAGCTCCTGTTGAATGATGTTGATCAAGGTTTGTGGCACTCTGTAGTGTTGAAGCAACCGCCAAATTACTTCTCGGTCGACGCTGTCGAATGTTTTTTCAAAGTGGATGAAGTTGAGGTTGAGAGTTGACTGCCATTCTATACTCTATTCCATGATGATGCGTAGCATTGTAATTTGATCCGGACATGATTTGTTTTCCCTGAAGCCAGACAGGATGTTGCGATCGTAGTTTTGGATCCAGCGCATCTTTTAGTCTCTCCAGGATGATGCGGCTTGGTATTTTGCTTGAGGTGGACAGGAGCGTGATTCGGTGCCAGTTCTTGCAAAGACTTTGTGAGTTTGACAAGGTGGCCCTTCTTCCATTTGGCAGGTACCTTTCCTTCCAAACCTTAAGCAATAGTGGTGTGAGCATGTCCCCTGTTGTCTCCGAGTCTATTTTCGGTGCTTCTGACGGAATTTCATCTGGTCCTGGTGCTTTCCCGGCTTTCAGCAATTTTATGGCCTTTAGAACTTCTGGTTTTGTCGGAGGGCTTGTGTTCACTGATAGTTCTGTGGCTGGACTGCTGGTGGTATTTCTAGACGAGTTGCAGTTCTTGGTGTCGGTGGTCGATTTAAGAGTTTTTCTAAGTGGTCATCCCATCGTTTTCTTTGTTCCTCCTCTTGCTAACTAGGTTCCCTTCATTATCTTTCATTGGTTTCATCTGTGTTGATCTCTTTCCAGATAGTAAGTTACCTGGTTATTTGATATAATGTTGTCAGGTCTCTCCTACCTGCAGCCTGTTCTGCTTCACTGTCAAGTGAAGTGTCTTTTGTCTTCCCGCTTACTCTTCACTTCTTCGTTCAGTGTTTTATAGGTTGTATAGTCTATATGTCAGTGGTGCATAAATTCGCTGTTCTAGTAATGTCTCGAAAGTGGTAGGTGCTGATTAGTACTCATCATTTGATTTCTTAATTTCCGTTGGTTGTATGTCTACAAAATGCTTTGATTTGAGTTAGCAATAGCTAAAAGACGTGATTTCATGGTCACAATGTTCAGTTACAATCTTATCGTATATATATATGTATATATAGTATCGTTAGTATCCGTTTCATAGTTCCAAATTGCACCCTGTCAATAAGATATAGACGAGATTAGTAAGTTTTGTTGTTTCTTAGGTGTATTTTTCTTCTCTGCGTATGTTTGTGCCAAGTATAGGTTTCTCCTACTTCAACTTTTTGTTTACTCTGTTAAGTGACTGGTTGACTCAGAATGTGAATATCACAACCCTACTAAGTTTGGGATCTATGGAAACTTGGTGTTCCAAACATGACATCAGTTGAAATTTTAGTTGACATTGGATACTTTGAACGGAAACTTACGGGAGCTAAGAATTTTTAATGGGTTAGTAGTTGATGGAATGTCAGCGTCGATGCAACAAACCATTGGGATTCATCAATCTGCATCATTTATGACAATATTAAAATATTCATGTGCCTACCAAGATCCCAACATATTGCACATTTGTACGTGCCTGCATACAGTGTAACTTTGACACAGTATTTGACCATAGGTAATGCAGAAAAATCACTGGTTTTCGATTATTAATGCTTTCAACGTATTCTTGATCTGAAGTAGGAAGACTAGTGGTTTTTCTGTCTACGGACCAAATTTTCACTTTAGATCCACAAAATGTACCATTTTTGGTGATAAAAAAACATACAATCAACTGAAAACCTCTCACAAAAGTGCTTCCGTTCAAATTGCTACACTTCAAAGTACCATTCACAGAATAAGTGGATAGGAAATGACTGATACCAAAGTGAACAAAAGTGTATGTATGGGAAGAGAAGGTATTCGAAAACGAAAACCAGTTGAGATGTTCAAGCTTTAGAAGACGTCAGAGTGAATGCATCTGGACTACTGTGACTGATTCTCCGCCATCTTACTAGGAGTTGTCAACTACTGGTTCCTTTCGTCTTGTCGACCTCAGCCCCGGTAGTCTACACCTCCCTATACAGCTGAAACCAGTCAGAGACTATATGGACTATATCACATCTTGGTGTGGTCACCTGTTGTGTTGGTAACATCTATAAAGTACAACTTATTAGTATTTTGTAGTGTTGAAAAGTGGTTTTATAACTAGATTTGACAGAAACCGTACCATGTATAGTCATCACTGTCTTTAGTCACAGCTCGTAGATACTTAGGTTAGAATCGCTGAGTTGGTCACTGAGTTTTTGGCTATAACGATAGATGTCTCACTTGAGCAGTGATCTCTTAATGACTTGGGTGTTCACAGCATGTTTCATGTACGTCTTATCAACTGTTCAGTTTTATGAAAATGTTAGATAGGATGAAGAGTTCCCAATAGGCTAGAACGATACTTGAAAAAGTATGAGGTTCTATAGTTGTATTCAAATGTATAATGAGGTGTAGGCCACTAGGGGTTAGTACTAGTTTTCATTAAGAATAATTATTTATTCACTAAGTTAGAATTAAAATTTTTTGTTTCATTAATAGGCTTCCGATCCTTGTGGTGATGGAGCTTGGAAAATTATGGTAAGTTATGCTTGAAAACTCATAATAATTCTTATGAACTCTGCTGTTATTGTCTTCATCCACTAAATATGAGGACAACATAAAGATTGATGTCTGTTTTCAATTGGTTTCTGTACGAGGGGGATATGTGCATTCAGATCAAGATAGGTATCCATATCCATGAAAAGTAACAAATAAGCCTCTACTTTTACTATTTTTGTACTGCTCCTGACTGTTTATCATAGGCTATGACTAATGCAAATATATGATGACAGTTTACAACCTGGAAATGAAACTTAGTATTGAACAGTTATCTAAAAGGAAATCGAGATCCATTCAGCAACTCTATGCACGTTCATGCAGTAAGCAGTAACCTACATCTATTATGCAAAGTTTAGTGATAATATCTAGTTACCCAGATATCGGTTGGTGAAGGGGGATTAAACCTGTGACCCATATCTTGACAGTCTAGTGCATAAACCAGTGAACCACAGCTCTATAACTTACGTAACCTAATTACTATCTAGTGACTGTAGCGTAATTCCAGATACGAACAGCCTTCATGAACTGTCGAGTTTTTTCTTATATATGCTGAATCACGGTCACATTTTGTCTTATCATGAATAAACGAAAAAAGTGGACGCTTTATTAATCAGTGGTTGTCAAGCAGTAAGTAAAGCAGCTTGACTTCAGGTTATTGGACAGATTATATACCTCATTGACTAAGATGTGTGACTACTAAACCTATCGCCTCTTAATGTCTGAAGTCAAACCAAGTTCTTATAGCCACTCACTTGGTTTATGTAAGTGACTGGAAGTAACCGAAGAAAGCACCTTTTAGTTACTCAAGGAATATCAAATGAGTTGAATACACTTAATATATCCTAAAGGAAAAGGAAAAGATGTCTGTTACTTTATACTACTACAGTGTACTATGAAATTGCACCATGTTAAAGGTAGATGGATTGTAAACCAGTTTTATTCAACCAACCTTCAGTCTTCACTATTTTAGCTCATCTTATGCCACTGAGTTACTTTGAAGTTTGCTGTATGTGACTGATTGCATGGAAAAATTATAAACTGATATTGAAACATTTGTTGAAGGAGAACTTAGAATTGCACAGCAACAGTTTCATCGTACTACTTAGTTAGAACGATATATTTTCAGGTACCCAGTCGTTAACAATTTTCGTGTGGCCTTCAAGTACTTCAGAGTCGAAGTAAGATTTGTTGGTTCTTTTCAAATGACCAACGCTTCATACAGATACCCATTGCTGATTCTTTTAGTACATAAATAATCTACATCACCTAATGATGAGATTTAATTGAAAGAGTAAGTGTAAAGCGCTTTACAATTCACTCTGTATGTGAAATCCAAGATAAAATGCAGTCGGAACAAACGAATAATGTTCATTAGTATAAAAATTCTTGTCATTTAATTATTGTCAATATCAAATCATACCGTATGCCTTAAAAATAAGCTGAGATTCTGTCAGCGATCAATCCGTTCGGGCTGATGCAACTTCTTAAGTAAGTGAAGTGATTGACGCATACAACCACTTCACTCCCTATGCTCAAGCTAGGAATAAGTGCAAACTAGTCATGAAGCATCATCTTGCATTTGGCAGGTGCATGTCAGCTAGACGTACTCAGATTTCTGCTCAAGGAGTTCAAAAGACCCTGCATTTTGTCAACAGAACAATACTCTAAGTTAGCCAGTTGCCGTCCGGGTTATAGATCAGTCCTTGTGAAGTTAGAGTTACATAGGGTTATGTCCATTAATACATCTGTGACGAAGTTGAACAGAAACGGTGACAGCGAACATCCCTGACGGACACCACTGGTTGTCGCCAATTGACATGATAACTCTTCACAAGCTCTTACACGGCTGCGTGAGTTTTAGTAGAGAGGTTTCATTAGCGTTACATACTTTCTTGGTACTCCTTCCGTAGTCAAACACTGCCACAACATCTCACGGTCGACAAAGTCTATGCTCTCTCGTTCAGGTCTGATACTTGCTTGGTTTTCTCGAGTTTGCTGTTTTCAATTTCCAATTAGGCATCGGATAACTATGTATTCAAGGATCTTGGGCACAATTCCTATATGGTTGTTACAAGAAACCTTCTCTCCCTTCTTATAGACCGTGGGATGATTAGAGAAGTAGGCCACTATGATGGCACTGTTCTGATTCACATACACTACGTATTACCTCCATCACATCAATTAGCAATTTCCTACCTCCATTCTTGAAAACGTTGGGTGGGAAACTGTCAGGTCCTGCTGCCTTGTACTTTTTCAGTTTCGAAACAACGTCAACTCCGAAGAGATTTAAAGGACGGACATCTACGTGCCATTCAGGTTCAGGCTGGATGTGGGATAACAGGAGCGTTTGCAAGGACCAGTTAAACTTTCCTTCAAAGTGTTCTGTGCAGCGTTCTTCCCACCTATCCTGAAAGTGAAAGGTTGTAAGCGTTGCATCCTTTTCGGTGGTGGTTTCACTCATTATCGTCTTCTTCTTGCCGATATCCTTAATAAACCTAAGTAGTTGCCGAGTGTTGCCCACCTCTGGAGCCTTCTCCATCTCTCTCGCTTTCGTCACCCACCACTGCTTGCGGCCGATGCGAAGAGTGTTAATCAAGTTGTTTGCACTCTCCAGTGTGGTAGAACCCCGCTGGAATCAGTCTTCTCGTGCCAGTCAGTTCGGATGACGTTGTGGAAATCCAGTGACATTTGCCAACCTTTGGGTGTATTTTACTAATTGTCTTTACTACTGTTCCTACTGCAGACTAAATATCACGCCAGATTTCCTCAAGATGAGCTTGCTTGTCATGTTCAGATAAGTTTTCAGCTAACTCCCCTCAAAATCCATACTGAATGTGTTCATCTTACACTGGAGAATAGGTAGGCCTTACTACCACCTGTTTCCTGCGACCAGTAAGTCACAGACATACACAAGCTCGTACTTCTGCGTGATTGGAGGTACCCCCAGAACGACCCACAGTCCTCCACTGATCCTCGCCAGCGATGGCTTGTCGGAACGGGATGCGTCCATCTTTGGTTTGATGTCGGCGGACGCCATGTGAGACAGTGTCTGTCCCTATGCTTTCAGTGGGTACTGGCCAGAAACAGGTGGTCGTCATGATGAAATTGCGAGGGACGATCACTGTTGTCGGTTTGTTGGCACGGGATTCCGTAGATACCTCCCAGCTGCCTTTCCGATTAGCTCAGCTTTCCTACTTGAATTTTAAAGTCGCCTGCTATTATGGCTATATCGAAGCAATTGATTTTCTGTATCAAAATTCACAGATTTTCATAGAATTCATCTTTTACATCATCCCAACTGCAGTCAATGGGCGTGTAATAGGAGATTACGAATTGTTGTATCCAAGCCCATCCACCACATGAAGATGGCAGCTGTCGGTCGGATAAGATATCACTGCCTTATAAGTTTCTATTAAGAGATATTTCGGGATATTTAGTATGCCATGCAGGAAAACATAGCGAAGTCCCAAGATTTTATGTCGTTTCATATGACTAAAGCTTAAGGAAAGCTGGAAATTTAATCACTGTGGTTATAATACCAAGAGGACCTCAAACGTGTAAGTGTTTTGCTATTGGAAACTGACAAGTTGATAATATTTATATTATGCTTATAACTGAACAGGATGTCCAAAAATGGTTAAGTGGGATCTTTGTACAACAGTAAACCAACTGTACATCACATCAACCTAGACCACACCTTTAGCAATTTGTTATTGTGAAACAGTATTATTTAAAGTTTGTTACCATCTGTAAAATCCACAGATATTCCTTTTCCTACTAATAAAAGTAACTGTTAATATTTTGTGGTTTATTCTTTCAACAGAGAAAGATGGGTTATGAACAAGGTCGAGGTTTGGGTATCAATGCACAGGGTGTAATTGAACCTGTTGCATTAAGTAAACAAAAAGGCAGAAGTGGTCTTGGCTTAGGAAGCAAATGTAAACAAGTTGAACCATTTTCAGGCGTTCTATATCAATCTACTGATCCAAATCTAGTTTGGCATGAAGGTTGTGATGAAGCATCAGCTGATGGAGATCTTATTTGGACATGGTCAATAAAAAAGGAAGTATGCACTGTATCACGATTGAATTCGTTGATTATTCCTCCAGATGAAGCAAAAGCCTTAGGTCCTCCTATTGAAGAAATGGAAAGTCAGAATAAATTCTGTTCACCTACTCTTGTTCATGAAGTTATTACTTATAAGGTTCGATAAATTTTTGAGTATAATTCATATAATAGTGTATATATATTGCTTTTTTGTTATACACTCACTTACAACTAAGACTTAATCGAGTATCCATGAAATCTCCTAAGCATTATTCCCTTCTTTTATATCTGCTTAAGAGCTTGTATGTTGCTACATCCGATTTTCATTTGTCAGCCTTATATTTTATCTCTCGAATAGTTAACTATGCCTAGACTTTGGTACACATGATCAAATTCATTCTCCTTTCATTTCTTATACTAGTCTCTTAGAAGCAACATTGTTTAGCGTGCTACATTGTTTCCAACAAATGATTATACCAGCTAAACATGAAATACCTGAAGCACTATCTATGATTACGCATACCTATTACAACTTCTCTACCTTGACACAATCACGATTGTCTTCAAAAGTCTGAAATGATGGTACGGTACCCCTTCTCTACCGAATTTAAAAGGTGTATGGGATAACTAATTTGCAGTGCTTTTCTAATATCCACTTGATGTCCAATGTCAACTAGGTGTGTAAGAATAGAGTTATTTATCTTTCCAATCTGTCCTTCAGTCAACCGTAATGGGGTGGCGTTTAGAAACTTAATGATGCATCTAGATCTCTGTACAACTACCTTCACACTCGCTGTCCAACTGATAAATGCATATGAATGTGGTAGAATCAGACAGTTTGTCTTTCTTTCTTACACATAGTATCAAGTGGTTGTGGAAGATTGGACATCTCTGGTGGGGGGTGCAAACCCTCTTCTTAGGACTCTCCTTATGCGTAGCTTAGTGATCTCACTAACAATGTAGCCTGAGAGTTCCATTTTCAACGAGGTTGTTAGTATTCATGATATAGTCGTCGCAACTTTCAGATCCATTCCTATCAAGCAGGTTACGGATAATGGCTAACCCTTGTTCGATGGCATCATCAAAGTAAATAGCTGTTGCACGATATCCTCAGCAGTACACCACCGGGTTTCGCTTGTATTGGAGAGGTACGGCAATAAGGAAATGTATATATTAACCTGCCGATAATGGCTTGCTATATATACTTCGCTTAACAGTACCATCCAACCTTCTTACTAGCAGAAAATTCATAAATGAAATACCATAATTTCCCCCATTCTAGTAAACTGACTAAGAACAGTATTCCCATCAACATCAACCTCATTTTTGAGAAGTGTAATAGTACCATACATGTGATGATAACATAATTCCAACTGACTGACTGTTTCTTTCAGAGATGATTATTCTCTAGTTCTGTCAGAGAAAATCTATTGACATTAGACGGAGGGGTGACCTTATAACAACACCATCAGATTGCCTGTAGAAGCGGAAGTGTGCATTCATCGTACATCTCAGGAATGATTCTTTTAAGGTGGAGACAGAAATACCTATTCCCATGCCATGTTTAGTCAGTTCTTTGCAAATAAAGTCTACTGTTTTAGCAAACCGTGAAGGCTAGGCATAACAATTCCAGTAGATTTAATCATTCCAATGATTCTTTCTGTGAAATGAAACCCTATTGTTATATCTTTTTCAATGACTCGATCAGCTGTCTATCGACCTTCTCTATCGTATTCCAATAAGCGACTAACTTCTGAAATTTACTGTCAACATTAAGTAAGGCAATTATCTTGTCTTTATAGTCCTTTTTATATATTCGAACTATTCCTGAGACTTTATCTGGTTTGTTAATTACCAGATTCGCATCTTTTGAAAAGCTTTCTCAAAGCTACCTTAATCCTTTCTCGTAATATTACTCTTTGTACCACACCTACAACGTGTATACTTAAGGGCAGAAGTCAACAAGTGTAGACTTATCTCTGTTGATACTGTCGTCTTCAACATAAGTTATTCCTCGTAATCACAGCTTTCGGCACCTGACTTTTAGGGTCCTATTACTTCATATTATTTGTTTTTGTCGATAGTAAAATTCTCCATATCTCTGGTATAAGTGTTGCATCATTTCTATTACATGTGTTGGGTGTTGATTCGATGAACAAAGATTCAGTAATCAACCTCTCTCTATCTAATTATATTGGACTTAAGTATGGGTTTTTTTTATCTCACCCTATTGCATGTTAATGCATACACTGAACTAGCGGAGTTTTTTTTCTCTCTAGAATATTGATCCGAATGAAGTTTACTATTATACACTTGGCTAAATTCTGATAGTCTAACTGACCTCGATTGGCTCGTCTTATCTATTTACTTGATCTCACAGTTATTACATGGAATTTGATAGATTAGATTATTTTGCTTAGTTGGTTCTATCGGATCCTGAAGTCAGCTGACAAAGCTTATCTCTGAGTGAGTTTGTAGGTTTAAATACCACCCTAATTCCAGCTTTGTTGAGGATCCTACGTTAAGTACCTTCCTTATAGGGCAACATAACGGAGGTTGTGAATTCCTTTCTACTCGTGTTGTCTTTATTATTCGTACCTGTGTTACTGTTATTGTTTCGTTTCGTGTATGTTCATACGAATTTCTTAATAAACGGTAGGGGGATAATTATTAACTCTTAGTAACTTATTTTGTTTCAGTTCTTTGTTTAGGTCCTTGCACTGACTAGTCAGTTTTCTAGCTCTATCATTAAGACATTCGACGAAAACTGCCTTAATTGACGTTGGATGAGCTGACCAAATGTCTAGACACCTGTTAGAATGTGTTGGTTTCCCGTAGACGGTAGTATCCAAACCACCATCTATCCTCCTTTTTATTCTACAGTCTGACACACGTAATTCTCCTTGTTCATTTTCTACGTCCTTGTAAGTGAATTCGATTGTGCCCACTACTGAGTTTATATGTGTGAGAAAACTGTCAATATGTTCCGATTTCAACGTAGTAAATGTGCCATCCACATATCGCCACCATATATTACCTACAGGAATAAACGTTCGTAAAGCCATGTTTTCCCAACTATTTCCAACTTTTACAATGGGTGCATTAACACATAACCACACAATAGGAGGGAATAAAACCCCTGTACTTAAGTCCAATGTAATTAGGTGGAGAGAGAGATTGGTTACTGAATCTTTGTTCATCGGATCAACATCCAACCTAACACATGTAATGGAAATGATGCAACACCTATGCCAGAGATACGGAAAAATGAATAAGGTTTACATGTGTAGTTATCTGATGCAAAATGAATCTGTGACCGACAGGGCTTTATGATGGCCATGGCAAAGATAAATGTTGGATGTACCTTTTTTGCACGCATAACGGTGGTTTGAACTTCTGGATAGCTAGTGCTTCAGCTATAGATAGATGCCTTGATTTTAATCCCTTCGAGTGGTTTGATCGAACCCTGTAGAGAATTTTGAATGAGCTCTCGAAAGGAGCTAAGTGGCCTGAGTTCAGGAAGTGTTCTGTTATCGAACTGAAGATGCATTTCCGTCCTGCCTTTGCAAGCCAGGCTGGGTAGTGTTCGCGGACACATGGTACTCAGCTCCACAACAGCAAGTAAACTGGTATACACACATTGATGTGGTCCAATGCATCGGCTTGTCTTTCACACATTGACCGAAAAGTTTCTTGCAGGAGAAAATTATCCGAAGGTTAGCGGCGAAGTATGTTCTGTTTATGGATTTTGACAGTCGTTTCCTCAGGATTTCTGCAGCAATATGATTTTTGAATTCAAGATTCAACAAAAGAATCTTTTTCGGCACCAAATGTCTTTGTTCACTTGGGTTCTTTGGTTTTATGTTCTTATCTATGAATCTAAGTGGGAACTCGTTTTCTGCTAGAGTTCGTCGAAAAATTTGCAGTTCTTCATCGACCGTGTCCTCAGTACATATCTTCGTGATCTTCGAGGAAAGTGAATGAATAAGATTTCTTTTCCTGCATAGGGGGACTGAACTCTGAAAATTAACCAATAAAAACAAAGAATAAGAGGTGATAGGACTATAAAAATAAGACATCAAAAGGAGTGTGATTACATTGATATGATATGTCATCAAGTAAATAACACCATACCACTGTGTACAGTTGAAGTATAAGTGATAACAAAATGGATTATGTAATCTATAGAATGGTTCATAAAATGTATATAACTCGGAAAGGAGTATAGATAAGTTAAAATAAAACCCAACATTTTTTGAAGAGATTAAGATGATTAAGCAAAATAACACCGGAAACTAGTCAAAGATGAATACGTTCGGAATAAATTATGTAGAACATTATAAAATGAAGTTATGTTCTACTTTCTCTTTGTCAGTAGAAAAAATGGGTTAGACATCTCATAAAATATATGGCAAACATTAATGACTGTCATAGATAGTTTGAAATAATATGAAAAGTTGTTCCACACTTCAAAGCAGTATTCAAAGAACGAATGGATAGAAAATGAATAACAAGATTAAGCGAAAATATGTATAAGAGGGGCGACTATAAACAGATGAAAGTTAATGAAAATTTTCAAGAGTATATACATCCATGTAATTGTAACTGATTTTGAGTATTATCATTTAGAGTTTACAAAAATTGATTGTTAATATCTTGAAAACCTTAGTCAGACAAAGACAATCAAAGATTTCATGGACTGATGATTTAGCCTTGCGAATCAATGCTACTTCGGGTAACACCACAAGTTGAGGTAAGCATGCGTGTAACATATGTTCAAGTCACCTCAATAAGTGAAGGTTTAAAACACTATCAACATTCTTACTTGTACTTTAGACTATCAAATTTATCCATCGAACATTTTTCATCAAATTCTTTCTTCTCAATTTGTTTTAATCATTTAAATATGTCCCTTGGACGTATCATGTTTAAACTGTTTCCAACTTTCTGTTTATCGAGTCAATAACAAAGGAGAGAAAAAAAATGTTACGTTATTTGGAAATGGACTTTTTGGTGCAGAAAAGTACATCATATTTCTATCTATCAGATGCTTAGCTTGAGTTGCAGATATTTATACCGTCTAAATGAACCACTACTACTACTACTACCACCACCACCACCACCATTTCTGTTGATTCTTCACTATAGACCAGATGGCCATCCGGAACCGGCTGACTATTTCATATTATTCCTATGAATACTGTTATTGTTAACATCATTCCAATGCAATAACCTTTTTGTCTGAAAGTATTGTTGTTGTGGAAGTGAATTTGTTGAGAAATTATATACTGAGAATTCTATACATACTGTCATACATATTGTTTGGAATAAAACGATTATTATTATTATTTATTCGGCCAAAGCTATAATCTCTTATTATCTAATTTTAATGGTTACATCTCAATGATGTTAATACGATAGAGCGGAGTACAGTAGAGTATACTCATCGTCTATTAGGTAGTGAGATATCTCACCATCGTCAGAGATAATGTAAGTTGGCAGTCGTTGAATTGTCCGTTTGAATCTGAGTTGAGGTTTCATCAACAACCAATCGGTTTGAGGTGATAAAACTTTCAAAGTAAGTAAATTGGTCAGTACTTTCAGTTGGCTATTGTAAAGACGTTTAGATCTTAGGGACAGAATACTCTGATTTACTACAAGCAATAACACTAAATTGACTTTTGTTGGATAATTTTAGCGTTTTCTTTGTGCTGAGCAGCGGCAACGCACTCAGAATTCTTACCTCATCTGTTAGTAAACAGATTATTATAACATTCTTCCCCTATGGTAATCTTTCAGCCTCCAATAAACTAATAAACTCCTCATCTGATCACTTTTCACTAGATCACGTGTTTTCTTATTTGTCTTTCGTTATCGGTTCTTATGTGAAGGTAAGGTACTGATGAATTCGGTAATCGCGCATACTGATTTCATTTGTATATAGACCAATGGAATCCATCTAACTGACTTCGATGAACCGATATACCTTGAGTAGGATAATCAGTTTGCAAATGAGTTACAATCCTCTTCTTCAATGTATACTGACTTTCTCGTTGTAGTTTTTCAACTGCCACTCAACTGTAATGATAATATACTTTAAAGTTTTATTTAGAATTTCTTATCATTCCTATTAGTCGACTGAACCTTTGTCAGACTATCCTTTCCTTGTACAGTTACCTTAATGTTATCAGAAGTTTTATTTTAAGGTAAATTCCATTTTTAAGGAATAGATACTGGGTTACATCTTCAGTGGTTATTAAGAAGTAAATATACCTAGTGTTGATAAGTGGTAAGTTAAATTAAATCTATGACTGTATATTCCCTTGGTAACAACTAACCATCAAGGGAAACATGTTATATTATCAGATATATTTATTGTTGTTTTTCTCTTCTAATCAATCATCTGTTTCCACTTTGAAAAGAAAAAAAAATTTAATTATTACCTTTCTAGAATCAATTAGATCATCTATCGAAGGCAATAGTCACTGAAAGTCATGAACGTTGTAATCCTTATGAAATGATTAAAAAAGGCATTTTTATGAACAGGTTAGACTTAAACTTTATTTACTTTTATTTCATTATCAATACTCGTTAGTAAATATTCTAAATTTGTTACCACAAGTAAGTATAGTGAGTAGAATGGTCGACTAAATATTGAAGATAATTATTATTTTTCCCCTTGGGTTCCTAGTGAAACATAGGGCTTCAGTACCACGCCTCGATTGCACTCTGTTCTCTAAAGTCTTTTGAACCTGGCGCCACAACTTCGCAGGAGTTTTCATTTCTTCTTCATATGATCTCCTCCATGTGACCTTCATCTCGGACGTCCAACTCATCGTTTCCCTTTTGGATTCCACTCGTTGACCTGGCCTGGCTCGTGATGTCCTCAGTTGGATTTACTTCGGTGTAGTCAACTTATAGCTCAGAAACGATACTTGAATATCTGTTAGAGATGGTCGAGTTTACTATGTAGAGGTTCTTCTGAACAGAAAGACAAAATCGAATTGGAAACTCACATAGGAGTGCAGCGGTTCAAGTTGTTACACTTCACAGAAGTACACAAAAAACAGATGAATAGAAAAAGAGGGATATTAAAGTAAATAAAGTTGTGTTGGTGAGAGAATAAACAATTCGAGGACAACAGATGGTGCAAATAATCAAACTTTATAACAAATCGGGGGATGAAGACATCTGCGTCGTTTTGACCGATTTCCATCCATGTCACCAAAAATCCTCAACTACTGACTTCTATTATCTCTGGGACCCTCAGCGAGATAGTCTACACCTACCTACATGGCTCAGACCAATAGTTAGGGGACTTCATTGACTGGTGCTGTTTCTAAGCTTGGCCACTCTGAACCTTCTTCCAGCCCATTCTAGATTCCCCTAGCATAGCACGTCGAGGTAGATGGTGGATGGTCATGCGCAGTACATATCCAAACCGTCTTAGTCGACTAAGGTTCACAACCTCATCAGTCGAATTGCCTGTCTTACCCAGTACCCTTCGCCTGACCTCAGCATTGTTCACATGGTGATTCCACCAAAATTGAACAATGCCACAAAGACATCTGTGGTCACAACCATTTGAACCTACTTTTAATGACCATGTCTCACTTGTGGAGTATTTTGATTTAACCGTAGACTTCATAGATGGAGATTTCATGTCATGTGTTACGAAAGTGGTTTTATTTTTCGCAAATGTATACATCTGTAGATTTTAGTTGGTTTGAGGCACTCGTCAGCAAGGCATATCTGCAACGTCGACGGAACTGATGTCCCGCCTAGGATTCGAACCCGCGTCACCCAGTGTTGTAGTCAGCGACTACATCACTGAGCTCTTGGGGTCGCGATTCACTTCCTGTAGAACTAGGTTACATATACTGGTCGATCACGGGAGATAAACCAATTTCATCTTGTCTAGACCTGTGTGGCGCAGGTTCGAATCTCAGGCGAGACATCAGTTCCGTTGAGGTCCCAGACACGCCTTTCTGACGAGTGCCGACAAGCACGAAACCTGGGTCCAGGACCGATTGCCCCCAACCAACTAACGTCTACTAATGTGCACCGCGATGCTAAGCTTCCTAGCTTGGCGGTCACATTGCAAAATAATCGATAGGATTCGGTCAACATATAGGACTATACAACATGAAGTTGATTACCCTCCAGTGACCAATCAATGTCATGTAATCTCTTCACCTTGTTTTGTTTGACAGTAGTCGTTACTCACCATTTTTAAATCCTGAGTGATTGATAAGCATAATCTAAATTGTCATCGATATCCGCTGGTTTTCACAATGTCTTACACGGAACCAGTCACATTGATCTACAGAGTTCGTTAACCAGACCAGAGTAATTTAAACACCTGGAAAACTGTTAAGCTCCCTTTGCGACGGGGCTCATCAGCTGTGTACCTGAACAAATTCAGCTAAGAGCCAAATTGTTCGGGTCACCTCAATCTGGCTAGGCTACTTCGATAGACCGGTATAGGCTGATCAATTTTCAAATGATTTACAAATTACGCGGTCCACGTTGACATTTGTCACAGCTGAGTAGTTTTTCAACTACTCAAATGTTTTATCAACAGGATAGTGGGTTTCCGTTGGAAATCCCCGTCGGTCATGAGTACAAGATGTAATTTCTGTCACAGAATTGTGATGAAGTAAGAAAAAAGACTACTCAGCAACTTGAGTAGTGAGAAATGAAACCATTGACGTACATTATTTATTATTTCTCCCTTGTGTTCCTAGTGGAACATAGGGCTTCAGTAGCATGCCTCGATTGTACTCTGTTCTCTGCAGTCTTTTGAACCTGGCGCCACAACTTCGCAGGAGTTTTCATTTCCTCACATGATCTCCTCCATGTGACCCTCATCTCGGACGTCCAACTCATCGTTTCCCTTTTGGATTCCACTCGTTGACCTGGCCTGGCTCGTGATGTCCCCAATCGGCCTTATGAGTGTATGTCCAATCCAATCTATCTCCACTTCTGCATATTTCTTGCTTGGTACGCTCTTAGTCGGTTGGTTTGTTGACAGGCCAGAGTTCCTTGTTGCTTATTCTCGTTATTCTGGCCATCTGATCTTCAGTACCGAGTGAGCGTAGACACCTGTTGATGAATGTCTGTATTATTATTATTATTATTATTATTATTATTATTATTATATATTTATTTGTCCCTTGGGTTCCTAATGGAACATAGGGCTTCAGTAGCACGTCTCCAATGCTCTCTGTTCTCTGAAGTCTCTTGAACCTGGCTCCACGACAGCCCAGAAGCTCTCATTTCCTCCTCGCCCGATCTCCTCCATGTCACCCTGGACACCAACGTCCAACTCGTCGCTCCCCATCTGGGTTCCACTCGACAGCCTGGCCTGGTGCGTGATGTTCTCAGTCGGCCTTCTCAATGTATGTCCAATCTATCTTGACTTCCTCCCGCATATTTGTTGAGTGACAGGTTCTTGCTTTGTTGGTTCGTTCCCAGAGTTCCTTGTTGCTTATTCTCGTTATTCTGGCCATCTGGTTTTCACTAACGAGTCAGGGTAGGCAGTTGTTGATGAATGTCTGTAGTTTGTTGGAAATGCCTTTCGTAACGCGCCAAGTCTCTGAACCATACAGGAGTACTGACTTGACATTGGTGTTGAAAATCCGGATATTGTTCACACTTTATGCTGAGTGCAGAAGATCCCCACACTGGTTTCAGGCTAATGAACGCCTGTCTTGCTTTTCCAATTCTGACTTTGACATCCTCATCTGTGCCGCCTGTAGTTGAGACTGTGCTGCCTAGATAGGTGAAGGAGGCTACTTCCTTTAAGTTTCTCCCGTTGATGGCGATTGGAGCTTCTTGTTGGTTTTGTTGTTGGAGTTGTTGGTGCGGTATCTTCATCACTTCTGTCTTCTTTATATTTACTTGAAGTCCTGTTTTCGCTGCCTCGTCTCTTATGTCAACTTGTTAGTTTTCGCCTGTAGATCTTCAAGTTTGTGTGACATCAGACACAAGTCATCGGCGAAATCCAAGTTTTCTAGGTTCTTTTCCGCGGAACGGCATATCCCCGTCGATGAATGTCTGTAGTTTGTTGGAAATGCTTTTCGTGACGGGCCAAGTCTCTCAACCATCGCATAGCAGCACTGACTTGACTGAGGTTGGTGTTGAAAATCGGGATGTTGTTCACATTTTGTGCTGAGTACAGTGCAGTAGATTTCCATACTGATTTCAGAATAATGCATGAAAGCCTGTCTTGTTGTGTTTTGGATCGTGGTTTTGACATCGTCGTCTGTGTCGCTGTTGCCTCTTGTAGTTGAGAGGCTGCTGCCTAGGTGGGTGGGTAGGTGAAAGAGACTACTTCCTTTAGGTACAATTTGTAAATTAGTTACAAATTAATCATCTTATCTTACAAGAAGAAGAACTTTCGATAAACCTGGAATACGCAGATGACATAGTCCTGTTAGGTAAAGATGCTGACAACATCCAGAGTCCTCTGGACACATTCAATGGCAATTTGAGAATGTTTGGAATGTGTTTCTCACCACCACCACCAACACCATCAAATGCGAATTGTTACTACACGACTGGTCTTCAACGATACCCCAACTAACAATACACAGTGAAGTGGTTGAGCACGTTGAACACTTCACTTACCTGGGAAGTCGGATCAGCCCTGGTCACTCACTGGCCGATTAAATCTCTACATGAATACAAAAAACTCGATTACTTTTCGCCAACTCATACCATCTGTGCCCACACCAAGATATCTGATTGCCTATTAAAGGTCGAGTGTCCTACATTGAAGTCCACCTTATTCTACTCTATAGCTGTGAAACACCATCATTCAAGGTAGAAGACATGAGAAGACTTGAGGAGTTTGACCACGTTGCCTTTGTGGTATCAGCATGTGAGTAACGCAGAAGTCAGGTGTAGAGTTTTGGGCAAGAGAGGTAAGACAGTTGATGCTGTTGTGAACCTTCATCGACTGAGATAACTGTCTGGGGACACATGTTACGTATGTCCATCCACCGTCTGTGTCATCGCACAATGTTGGCCAAAATAAGTTCAGAGTGGAAAATGGATCGGGGCAACCAGACTTAAACATGGTACCAATGCATGAAGTCTTTGACTGTTGATTATAGCCGTGTAGGACGATGTGGACTAGCCAGTTGGGTTACGTTGGACAAGAGGAACCAATGTTTGGAGACTCTAGGTGATATGGTTTAGAACCGATGTGAGTGGCGAAGGTATATACACACACCGTCCTCATGTTAGCTGCTATACCTGAGGCTCTAAGGTTCCATCATACATTCTTGTCACTATGAATGTCTAGGAATACAGTATAGTCAGTTTCTTTTTTTGTGAATTAAATCCCTTCAAAGGTTTAATTGAACGTATTTTCTAATTCAGTTGTTTTGAGTTTTACGACAGTAGTTTCATTGATGTAACGAATCTAAATTTCCGGTTCGAACATCGAAATGACTATTAATTCTACACAAACTTATCTCACTGTCTACAGTAGTGGTTCTGATCCCACCTTTAAGTTAGTTATATTACATTCATAACTCCTATTGTGACATGCGAAATAAGATATTTAGCGAAGAGGACTCTTTCCAACAAATTTATTCTCAAGCTCTACATTCGTATATACATGATATTTAAAGACTGTAAACCGTGAGGAAGATTTAACTTGAATAATAAGGGGTGGAAATAACAATAATGATGGTTATAACCATGATAATGTTACTAGTTGACGACGTAAAAGTTGAATGATGACAAAAAGGGTTACGTAAGATTTTTAAATCGTTTTTAAGGTGGATATAGAATAAAAAGGAGTGAAAACGTGGCAGAGTTAATAAACAACCAAAGGATTATGTGATATGAATGAATTTTTGAGGGAGTTGTAGAGATTTGGAAATATTTGAAGTTGTTATTCATCGTAGACTGACATCAGTCGGAGGAAAGAAGGAAATATGGGAGCACTGGACAATTGTTTCGTCCTAGTACAGGACTCCTCAGCTTTACGCACCCACGACTCCGCACCACCAGGGTTCGAACCCGCGACCTTCAGGTTTCGCGGCCAGCGCGCTACCACCGAGCCACTGGGTCAGAATCCAATGCTGCATATTTCCAACTTCAGTTAGCTCACGATATAGCGCAACCGTCACCCAATGTCATCGTTGAGTAACTATCCTCAAGAGCATCAGGCTTTGCCCTCACCGGTCACGACTTCTCATTGGAACTTCGGGAATATCGTTCGAGGCTGGTCACCAATGAGCACCAATTCAATTGAATTTTGAGGGAGTTGAAGAGATTTGGAAATATTTCAAGTTGTTATTCGTCTTAGACTGACATCAGTTGGAGAAACAAAGGAAACCTGGTAGCTCTGGACAGCTGATGTCAATCTACGATAACAACTTGAAATATTTCCAAATCCCCACAACTCCTTTTAAACTAAGATATATATTCCTGGCTGGTGATCGGTATAGGTCGAATCGATTGATGTAGATAGGTTCCTATGTGAACACTTTAGAATACATTTTCTTTTCTACAATGTCAATACATATGACACCATATGGAAAGATTAAGTTTTCGTTTCTGTGTTCTAGGTTATTTCTTTCTACATCGATTTATTCCAATAATTTTTGTTACAGTTTATCAATCTTATATTCATGATGATGTATCTTGTTTACTTTATATTGTGTGTTATCCGTTTATTTTTTAGAGCTGCAATGAAAATGGCTAATATAGACTCAATATTTGGTGGTATGTTTACAACTGCCGCTCATAGAAAGGTATCTTATAGTTTATCAATCAATCAATTAATCTCTTTTAGTAAATTTCGATAATAATAATAATATTATTATTATTTGAACAATGTAATGCGTATTTATGCAATACATTTCAAAACAATCTGATCCCCTACACATATTGACCTTGTTAAGCTAATTTATATATGAGAATGAAAGGAAGAGAGTAGTAATCATTCAAATTGTATTTCTTGATATACTCTTGTATCGAAGCAAAGATAGATCTATCAGATAATCAGTCGATAGAAAGCCTATTTGAACTGGACAGTACCTGAGTTTCTACAGTTTTTATCTGATCAAATATAAGAGAGGCTTAGTAAGATGCTTATTCAATAGGATTCAACCTATTTGTTCATCTGATTAAATGAGATGAGATGAGGCTAACCTTAAAGCCTATAATTTCTTTTGTCCCCAAAAAAGGATATGTTCCTTAAAGTTTACCATATTGAGGAGAAATGAGTAGTATGATATTGAAACAGAGATTAAAATCTGTTATCAATAAAACATACTATGCAGCTCAATTTATCATTGTTAAGACAATAAAACAACGTGCTCTGCCACAAACCTCAACCTCATAGAAGTGTAGGAGGAGTAATGGTGCTATACAGACTAGGGTGAGTGAACGTATGCCTAAATCATTTGATAAGTCCAGGCACCAGACATTCATCTTCATCTATAGCAAAGCATATCATCGAAATGAATCATAAGGTTAATACGAAAACAGCATTCAAGATACTGTATAGAAATAGTCAACGGGGCATACTGAAATTTACCGTAGCGTTTATTATTATTATTATCCTTATTGTTTTTCCCTTGGGTTCCTAGTGGAACATAGGGCTTGAGTTGCACGACTTCATTGCACTCTGTTCTCTGCAGTCTTTTGAACCTGGCACCACGACTTCGCAGGAGTTTTCATTTCTTCCTCACATGATCTCCTCCATGTGACCTTCATCTTGGATGCCCAACTCATTGTTTCCCTTTTGGATTCCACTCGTTGACCTGGCCTGGCTCGTGAAGTCTGCAATCGGCCTTCTCAGTGTATACCCATTCCATCTCCATTTTCTTCTGCATATTTGTTGGACGATGGGTTCTTGGTTGGTTCGTTGCCAGCCGACCAGAGTTCCTTGTTGCCTATTCTCATTATTCTGGCCATTTGATCTTCAGTATCGAGCCAGCGTAGGCAGCTGTTGATGAATGTCTGTAGTTTGTTGGAAATGCTTTTCGTGACGGGCCAAGTCTCTCAACCATCGCGTAGCAGCACTGACTTGACTGAGGTTGGTGTTGAAAATCGGGATGTTGTTCACATTTTGTGCTGAGTACAGTGCAGTAGATTTCCACACTGATTTCAGAATAATGCATGAAAGCCTGTCTTGTTGTGTTTTGGATCGTGGTTTTGACATCGTCGTCTGTGCCGCGGTTGCCGCCTATAGTTGAGCGGATGCCGCCTAGGTGGGTGGGTAGGTGAAAGAGACTACTTCCTTTAGGTTTCTCTTGTGGATGGTGATTACAGCTTGTTGTTGTTCGTTGGGTATCTTCATCGCCTCTGTCTTCCCTACATTCACTTGAAGTCCCATTTTCGCTGCCCTGTCTCTTCTGTCACCTTGTTAGTTTTTGCCTATAGATCTTCAAAGCGTTAGCCAATCGTGAATTCAAGCCCCGATTGTGTGTACCTTGGTAGCCTTTGGCTATCTGATTATACTACCAAGACTAGTGTCACAACCTTTTCACATTCGTTATATTTGACCTTTCATTTTCATATATATATTGGCTTCACAAGGTAAATGTGTGGGGGATCAGATTGTTTTGAAATGTATTGCGCAAATATATCACACACATTGTTGAGATAATCCTCGTCTTCTAATGGCGTTATCGAAAATGATTATTCTGTTTCATCAAGTCTACGAACTTGAATGTATTGTATAAAGCCTAAATGTAGTTGATATTAATCCCTGATCAACAACTGCTACTCGGTAGCGGTGGTCAGAATTATATGTTGCAATAATCCAAGGAGCTATACTCACTGAAGTGATTATTCATTGGTGTTCTACCATGTGAGAAAGTTCTGTTGAGAATTGCTTACACCTAGATTGAAACCAGTCACCATCGTAATGTAAGTAATTAACTCTATGAAAGTGAATTCAAGGGAGAATTCCTGCTGTATGACTGTATAGAGTGTAACACCTTGTTCTAGCTGTTTCTCATAGATAATCAGTATTCCATGCTGATGCTACTACCTCTCCTCTTATCATAAGGAGAGGTTAGAAAACGTTGAATGTCAAAACATTGGTATACTTCTGTCTACTCTACTAACTTCTGGTACAGTTTTCATGTTTTTTGCTACACTTAAGTAAAAGTAATATAGTCAATTTCAAAACATCCAAAGAGACCGTGTGAAGTTATGCAAAACAAATACACTTTCCCTTTGAAATACCTTACAAATATCTTAGATTCTATGAAGTGCGTATCTGGAAAGCCTCAACTGCATGTAAGCTTCTAGAGGGGCAAACGAACTTCATCTAAGTCCGAATCCGTAATCCATTCAGTGAAGTCATTTCACTGTAGTAGTTCAAATAATTTATTCTTATCCACTTGGTATTTCACCTACCTAAGGATATTTGGGGATTATTGCTAGCCAATGGACAATACTTGTAAATTTTAGCTGGGATACTTAAGAGTATCAAAATTCACTACAATGTTGAACTACTAGGAAATAACTGAAGGGAGTATTATCCCATGGAATCATAATTATTGCATCAAAACAGCGAAGGATAGACCTAGACGAACAAACTACATACCTATCTCCACAGGACCAGATGGACTGATAAACTCACATTGAACTGGTTAGTCTTTGAGGAGTGGGGGGGGGCATAATAAAGGACGACTGCTATATGTTAGTGTTCTTTTTTCTCAATATGTGGGGTGGTGGGTATCCATTTTTCAAAAAGGTGGGTTTCAAGAAGCCTATTTCTTCTTCTATCCAGTCTACAGAACAAATTTTATGGTATCATGAGAACAAGAATTTGAATAAGACTACGCTTTCTGGTTTTCTGGATCTCTTCAGTGTACCATCGTCTCTTCTCATCAGTAGAACATCTAGGAATGAAATTTTAGAATCTATGTCTTTTCCAATCGTAAACTCTAGTGATGTATGGCAATGATTGAAGTACCAGAGAATTTCTTCTGTATCAAGTATTGTGTCACATATGATGGTGTCATCAACATATCTATTTACTTAGTGTCAGCTGGCTGATCATTGGCTTCAAACTATAGTTCCCGATGCTGGCCATAAAAAAATTGTTTGGTAATGGGTCGATGGAGACCCCATGTTTATACCATGTTTTTTTGGCACATCTCTTTGTTAAACCTAAACTAAACATTCAGGATACGTTCTTTTGAATAGGCAATACGTATCCCAGTATCTCCATTGTTTGTGTCTATATAGTAGCATATAAACCACACAGTTTCTCTGAGTGGTACATTAGCGAATAAGGAATTAACATCCAATGACATGAAGTGGAGGTGGATTGGGTATACACTGAGAAGGTCGATTGGAGACATCACGCTCCAGGCCAGGCCCTCGAGTGGAACTTAGATGGGGAGCGACGGGCTGGGCATCCGAGGGTGACATGGAGGAGATGGTGTGAGGAAGAAATGAGAGCTTGTGGGCTGTCGCGGGACCAGGTTCAAAAGTTTGCAGAGAACAGAGTGCACTGGAGACGTGCTGTTGAAGCTCTATGTTCCATTAGGAACCCAAGGGACATATAATAATAAAAATAATAAACAGATTCAAATGTATCATTAACAGAATAGTTGCATACTTGCTGTCAAATTGCTTCAAGAATCCGTTAGGTCCATCAAGTTACTGAGTGGTAGGGAGGACCTGAATTATCGAGAATGGGACGTAAAGATATTCTAGGTTTATTTAGTTTGGATAAGTACGTTTGGCATGCGTTTCACTGGCACCTGTTTAATGTAAGATGCTGCTCCAGGACTGGTCTTCTGCAAGTACTCCAGTTTAATGATAGACAATGAAGTGATGGAATGTGTCGACCACTTCATTTACTTGGGGATTTACATCAGCTCGAACAGGCTAGTTGGTGACGATATCGTAGTTCGGATATAAAAGGCCCGTTTAGCAATTGCCAACTTACGTCATCTGTGGCACCGACTGGCGAGATATCCAAGTATCCATATCAAAGGACGAGTGTACCGTACTGCAGTCTATTCAGTCCTGTTATACGCCTGTGGTCGCAGATGTCTTCGTGGCATCGCCCACATTTGCTGGAACCACCGTATGAACAATGTTGAAGTCAGGAGAAGGATACTAGGCAAGTCGATTGATATGTCTGTGAACCTTTGTCGACTGAAATGGATTCGACATGTGTTGTGCATACTGAGTTGAAAGATAGTTCAGGGTGGCAGACTAAGACCTGGCACTAGTCGATGAAGTCCCCTAACTGCTGGTCTGAGCCGTTTTGCGAATATGTAGACTACCTGGCTGAGATCCCTGAGATCATAGAAAACAATGGTTGAGGATTCTTGGTGAAATGACTGGAAATCGGTCAAAATGGCGTAGATGTATTCACTTTTTAACACATTCTAAAGTATGAATATTTTTACTAACCTTTATCTTCGGGCTGTTTATTGTCACACAATTTTGTCTTTTTCTATTCACCTGTTCTTTATATGTTTCATTAATATATGAGTAAAACTTGTGCACTGTGGTAGAATGTAGTTCCGTTTTTATTGATTTATTAGATCTATCACACAATGAAGGAACAGTATTGTTTACTGGATTACGTTTCGGACATAATTTATTGTCCATAGTCATGTCAACAACAATAATAATGATAACGATGGTAATAATAGTAGCGGCAATACTGTGAATAGAGAATTCAAAACCTCCACAGTAATACCATACAAAAAAGGCACCTCAGTAACACTACGTATGATTCTCAGTAAGGCTGGCTGGGATTAGAGTGGCGTTTAAACCCACAAACTCACTTCGAAATAAGTTTTGTAGCTTAAAAGATCCTACTGAGCTAATTAAGCAGAATAATTTAGTTTACCAAATCTCTTGCAATAAATGCGAGGTCAAATACGTTTGTTAAAGTAGTCGACGAGAGTTGATTAGGCTCTTCGAGCACAAAAACCTAGCTAGGTCAAAATTGGTAGATCGTAGTTAGGTAAGGAATTTAGAAAAAAGCCCAGCCATAGCTATGCATGCAATTACACATAACCACAGAATAGGATGGATGGGACAGGGTGAAAATTCTTAAAAGTAACATTGGAGGGTGGAGTGAGAGATTGATAACTGAATCTTTGTTTATCGAATCAACCGACACCTAACACATGCAGCAACAGGAATGACTCAACACCTGTTCCGGATATATCCAAAATCTTACTAACCCATCTCACAAAGAGACGACGAAATTAGGACTATATAAAGGATATCTGGAAGTTGTGTAGTTATCTTGATATGACTATGGACAGTAAATTATGTCCGAAATGTAATCCAGTAAACAATACTGTTCCTTTATTGTGTGATAAATCTAATGAATCAATAAAAATGTTCTTTATATGGTACTGTGAAGTGTAGCAACCGATGCAATTGTGTGTGTGAGGTTCTCCGGTGATCTATTCCGTCTGGATGATCCGTATAGTCTAAGGATAATAGATCGAAAAGGTTTCAATTTTTCGAACTGATCAGCTGTAAATATGAAGTTACTTTTGATTGGTTCATTCAACTGGTACATGAGGATGCTAAATGCCAAGTGATTCACGATGGAAAGCTCAGTGGTGTACTTGAAGTTTGGACAGGAGTAAGACAAAGTTGCCGCCTACTGTCACATCACCGATAATCTTCCTGATTGTGGTCTACTGGAATGGACTAGACTGGATCATGCAACAAACTATGAGGAGCGAGAAGATGGGAATACGCTAGCTGGAACGATGAAAAGACTCCAGAAGAAGACTTGAATTTCGCCGATGATCATTTATGTCGGATGTCTTATGTCTCACAAACTCGGAGATCTACAGGTGAAAACTAACAATTTGGCAGAAAAGGCTGGGCGGCGAAGGAAGACTCGACTTCCTTCAGGTGAACGTAGAGAAGATAGAGTTGATGAAGATACCCAACCACCACCGCCAACAAGCTCCAATCACTATCAACAGGAGAAATCCAAACGAAGTCATCTCTTTCGCCTACAGACGGTGGCGGCACACATGAGAATGTCAAAGCAGCAAGAATCGGAAACACATCAAAGACAGGCCTTCCTGCATTTATCTGAAATAATCAGTGTGGAGATCTACTGCACTTCACTACACTGCAATGCACCCAGCATAAAGCCTGAACAACATCCAGATTTTCAACACTAATTCAATCAAGTAAGTCAGTGTTTCTATGTGATGGTTGAGAGAGTTGACGCGTTACAGAAAGCATTTGCAATAAACTACAGACATACACCACATGAGCAGCTGTCGCCTACCCTCACACTCGATACTGACACTGAAGATCTATCTGTTTATCAGATGACCAGAATAATAAGAATAAGTAAGAAGGAAGTGTGGCTAGCTGGCTGGCTGGCAGGCAACGAACCAACCAAGAAGGTATCTCCGAAGAAACATTCAGAAGAAGGAAGTGTAGATGGATTGATTGTATTGGTCATACAGTGAGAAGACGGTTTGGGGATATCACGCGCCAGACTGTGCTAGGTCGTCGAGTGGAGGTCAAATGGGAAATGATGAGTTAGGCGTCTTTGGCTGATGTGGAGGAGATCGTGGTAGGAAGAAATGAAAAGTTTTGGGAAGTCGTGGAGGCAGGTTGCAAAGAGTGTAGAGAAGAGATTGAAATGTCGACGTGCTACTGAAGCCTTATGTTCCACTAGGAACCCAAGGGATAAATAATTATAATAAAATAAGTTTATTCTTCAAGACTTTCAATTTTATTCCTTTGTCCATCAGGTTACGAAAATTTGGAGTTTTCCGATAGTATATCGTTGTTTTCATCCGCATACTTCTGTTGGTCGAGTAGCACCTAACCGACTCTTTTATCAGTGATCAAAATGCTTTTTTTGGGTGGTGGAGGCATGGTGGTAGAGTCGAATTTGTCTTAAGTTTTCTCTTGGTAATGTAAGGGTGGTTTTTCGGTTTTAACTTCATGAATAATTGATAAGGATGATCAAGTACTATCGATTTAAAATGATCTAATTCTACTGTATTGTACAGGTTTCGCAAACAGATTCATTGAAAAGGATTTCTTTTACTGAACTAAGTGCTCTTTGATTTAATGAGGGTGTATACCCTACTTTTGAAAATATCAAAAACGTTGAATGACCAGTAAAGCATTTGATAGGGTTCGCTAAACTACTTTGGTGTTATATGTTAACTGGATGACTTCATATTCTATTTCGAAGACTTTTTTAAGCAATAGAATACACTTATCAACCTTCTTAGGAATGAAATATGAATCTTTGAGGGTTCTCAGTGTTCTGAATATAAAAGCGAAAGTATTTTTGCCTATAAGTAGTTGAAATGTATATATCCAGTGAATTTATACTTTGCATTAGGCGTCAGTTCCTGTCTTACCTTAGAGGTAGTCACTTATCAGATAACAGTTATGTGATAATTACATCCCAAAGGAGTAGATTATTAGCTTTCTATTATGAGTAAATTTAACCTTCTTCCAACGTAATCTTACTTCGGCTAACGTTGCACTTGAAGGTTGATAGTGGTTCAATATGCGCAATATGCATCCTAACCAAATCAGTTGGTAAAACTCCACAACCTCATTTCATTTTCCTTCCCTATCCAATATTATGCGCCTAACCTCAAGGTGTTTACACGATGATTCCATCGAAATTACATGATGAAAAGTTTCATTAGATCTATCTATTCGAACAGCTATTTATTATATTACTATTGAATGAATTTAGGACGGGGTTGTAAGATTGGTTGGTCACTAGACAGCAGCCTATTTAATGTCCAAGCTGTATTGAGTATTTCGCAGTGCTGTTATGAAGCTAGGAGACTCGTCATCGCAGCGCGCGTTGGTTGATGTTGGTTTGTTTGGAGACAGTTTGAAGGGAGAAAAAGGAAGAATAAGAAAATGATGAGGTTAGATATAGCGGTTTAGATGAGGATAATGTGTGTATGCATCTTCACTACTGACATCGATTGTGAACCATATCATCTGGAGTCTCCAAACATTGGTTCCTGCATTGGTGCCATGTTTAAGTCTGGTTGCCCCGAACCATTTTCCACCCTGAACCTATTTCCGTCGACATTGCGCGATGACACAGACGATGGATGGACATACGTAACACGTGTCCCTAGACAGTTATCTCAGTCGATGAAGGTTCACAACAGTATCAACTGTCTTACCTCTCTTGCCCAAAACTCTACACCTGACTTCTGCGTTACTCACATGCTGATACCACAAAGGCAACGTGGTCAAACTCCTCAAGTCTTCTCATGTCTTCTACCTTGAATGATGGTGTTTCACAGCTATAGAGTAGAATAAGGTGGACTTCAATGTAGGACACTCGACCTTTAATAGGCAATCAGATATCTCGGTGTGGGCACAGATGGTATGAGTTGGCGAAAAGTAATCGAGTTTTTTGTATTCATGTAGAGATTTAATCGGCCAGTGAGTGACCAGGGCTGATCCGACTTCCCAGGTAAGTGAAGTGTTCAACGTGCTCAACCACTTCACTGTGTATTGTTAGTTGGGGTATCGTTGAAGACCAGTCGTGTAGTAACAATTTGCATCTGGTGGTAGTGGTGTTGGTGGTGGTGGTGAGAAACACATTGCAAACATTCTCAAATTGCTACTGAATGTGTCGAGAGGACTCTAGATGTTGTCAGCGTCTTTACCTAACAGGACTGTGTCATTTGTATGCTCTAGATCTACCAAGGGTTCTTCAAGGGTTAGATCCATCTCTGTGAATTCAGACGACGAGATAGAGACCACTGTAATAAAATTAACTAAGGATGGGAGCTTTATTGATTAAACTTATATGATGCTTAATAAATGCACAAATTTTCGTTATGAATCGAAAGTTTTCACAGTATTGTCTTATTTTTGTCAACAGGACATATTATATTTTGCTGATGTTTGTGCTGGACCTGGTGGCTTTTCAGAATATACTTTATGGCGTAGATGTAATTCTCCATATCCTGTTCGTTCATCACAAAAATCTAGTGTAAAGGATCCTGTTACTACTGACCATCCTAATGACAATGTTGATGATGATGATAATGATGATGACAGTCCATCAGAAGACAATGATAATTCTGAGAGTAATCAATTTGGAGATCATGAAAGCTGTAAACAGCGAAAACAATCATTATTTACAGCTAAAGGATTTGGATTAACATTGACTGGTTCATGTGATTTTCGAGAGAATGATTTTCTTGCTGGTCCCAGAGAAGCTTTTATGGCGCATTATGGTCCTACACATGATGGTGATATAACTAAATGGGTTAATTTGGCATCATTTTCATCATTCATTGGTCGTAGCACAAATGGTGTTGGTGTTCATATTCTAATGGCAGATGGAGTTAGTTCAATAACCTATTTCATTAATAATAATAATAATAATAATAATATAATGATAATAATATAGTCTAATGAGGTCAATTTCACCTATCTATGACGACGCGTTGTTCATTTCTACTTAGATATGATAACTTTTATTGACTGAAAAACAACCTATTAAGCGTCAAATTAAGTAACCAAACAATATTTTTGTAGTGTATCTAGTTGTTACCTAGCATATCGCACATTGTTCACTGAAGTAAGTTTCGACTAGAAAAAGGTTAAAGGCAGCCAGATTAAAACATGATATCAGTCCATGAACTTTTTAACTGTTTGTCTGAGATGTGTAAGGAATTGTAGACTTCTTGATTGGGGTTTACGTGACAACAGAAATTTGTGATTGGAGATTTTAGACGATATGGTTTATGTAGTAATGATGGATAGTGGCTAACAGTGGAATCTAGGATGCGCATTTCGTCCTATTCGGGACTCGTCAGCTGTATGTACCTGCCCTCTAGTGAGTGATTTTGTTCCCACTAAACCCATACCCGTCGCACAATAAGTGGCTATCGTGGCTCAGTGGTGTAGTGGGTAACACTTTCGCGTTTGAAGCGGTTGCTCTCGAGTCTGAATCCCGTTGGGGACAACATCACTCACTGGGAGGGAGGCAGGTACATCCAAATAGGACGAAGTGCGCATTCTGGATTCCACTGCTAGCCACTATTCATCATTACTACATAGTTAAGAACACAGGAAATATCTAGGCATCCGCACACGAGCCCATATGCCAACAGAGACTGATCAATTCGGTCCAACCAATGACGGTGTGATACAAGCAATAACACTTAAAGATATAGCTTATCTTGATATACTGATATGAAGTATGGCAATTCAAACCGCTGTGCAATAATACCAGGTGCTATGTTGGTATTGACTAACTAACTGACTTAACATGCCACTGTAATTCTATGATGTTCATGTCAGTGATCAACAAGGTTTTGATGTACAGAGCAATAAGTGTTAAACAGAGTTAGAATTTAAGATGTCAGTCTCGAGTAGTAACTGTGTATCCACATCTCATCTACATTTTGGCTATTGTCGTTAATATATTGAACTTCGCTAACATGTTGAATTCCATTCCAAACATCACTTGGTCATCGGTGCAAGTTAAGCTATTCAGGTTATGTGTAACCTAAGTAAGCTTGTTTGGTATTCCCCAACTTTGATCATCTGTGGCACTGACTGCCGAGGTATCCGACTACCAATTAAAGGATGTTGCCACTGCATTGCAGTTCGTTCTGTCCTGTTATGCGGTTATTAGACATAGTCATTAAATGTAGAAAACACTTATCTTCATAGCACTTCTCGAGTTTGGGGAAACTACCGTGTGATCCATTTTGAGGTCAGATGAAGGGTACTAAGCAAGACAGGGAAGTCAACTGATGAAGTTGTGAACCTTTGTCGATTGAAATGGCGTGGATATATGTCGCGTATTCGAAGCCACCGCCTACCTCCCATATGCAATGCTACTGGAAGATGAATTAGGTTGAAAGAGAGTGCAGAGTGACCAGGCCAAGACCGATCAGCAGTCGACAAAGTCCCTAATTGTTGGTCCGAGCTATGTGGGAAGATGTAGACTACTGCCTGGCTGAGGTCTCCAAGATGATCAAAATCAGTGGTTGACAACTCTTGATTACATGACTGAATATCGATCACAATGACATCTTCTAAAGCCTATTTTGCATACTACTATGAAGTGTGGCAACCAGAACCGATGTTCTTGTGTGGGAGGTTATACGTTGATTTTGTCTGTCCACCTGAAATAAGTCGACCATCAAATAGTAGTGGTGATGGATTTATCTGATAAAAACCTGTGGATCAGTTGTATGGTAACATCGTCATCAGGGTAACTGACTTGATATTTGGAGGAATCACCTTCCTGACGAGGTCTAATAAGCAGGACTTCCTTTCGATTGTCTCTAAGTACCTGATATGAAAGAAACACATGTGCCAGTCAGATATCTCAGTTGATGAAGCTTCACAACCGTGCCAACTGGTTTACCTCTTCTCCCCAAAACTCTACGCCTGACTGTTGCGTTACTCACGTGGTGACACCACGGAATACGGCACATACTACGAAGGCAGCGGTGGTCAAACACCTGAAGCCAGCCTTCTCATGTCTTCCACCTTCAATATCCATGTTTCACAGCCGTACAGTAGAACAGAGTGGACTGCTGTGCAGCTGCAGTACACACAACCCTTAATAGACAATCGGATATCACGGCGGCTCCACAGGTGGTGTAAATTGGCAAAAGCCAACCTAGAATTTTGTATGCGTGCGGAGATTTCATCGGCCATTTAGCCACCAGTGTTCATCCCACTTCCCAGGTAAGTGAAGTGTTCACCGCATATAACCACTACACTTTTTATTGTTAGCCAGGTCACCGTTGAAGACCAGTCCTGGAGCAACAATCTGAATTTGGGTGGTGACAAACGCATCTTAAACATTCTCAGATTGTCACTCACTGTCTAGAAGACTGCACCTTGTCAATATCTTCATCTAACAGGACTATGTCATCGGCACATTCTAGGTCTAACGAAAATTCTCTTGCTATTAGGTCGACCTCTGTGTGGTTAGGTGGCGAGAAAAAGACCTCCATGAGAATATCTATGATAAAATCGAAAAGGAATGGAGACAGTGGGCACCGTTGACGGACGCCACTCGATGAACATAGCTCCCTGGACATCTCACTATAGGCTCTAACACACCCACAAGTGTTCTAGTAGAGAGCCTTCAATAAGATGATGTACTTGCTCGTCACGCCTTTCAGTGAGAGATATTGCCATAAGACTTCTCGATCAACGGAGTCGAATGCCGTCTTCAGGTCGAGACTACAGTTGCGCAATTGCAAAAAAAACGATTCAACTGTGAGAAATATCAGCATGATCCTCATAATTTGTAAATCATTTACCAGTTGATTATCCTGGATACCTGAAATACGATATTATTTTCAAGCAGTTATAACTCACAGATATAAATGTCAAACGTGTCAACTTGCCTGTTATCCTGTTTTCTAGTAGTAATCAGCTGTTTCTTTTTTTTAAGTTCATTTCTATTCTGATCAAAGTAACAATTCAAGGTCTCATTACTTTTTTCAGGGTTTCGATGTTTCCGGTCAACATAATCTACAAGAAGTCCTATCTAAACAGATTTATTTATGCCAGTGTTTATGCGCATTAATCAATTTGAGACCAGGTATGTGTTTCTTTCTCATACGATTTACATATATATTTATATGTGCTGGTCTACCAGTTAGCTGACTTTCAACCAGTGAGTCATAGGTTCAAACACACTTCACCTGCCTAGGTTTGGGCAGTCAAGCAGTATCATTAACCCTCATCGAATAAGTGTGGTTCACTGTCTCTTGCATAAGGTTCGACAAGTGGATTTCTATTCGGTTCGACCCATCACAAGTGAGGTGACTTCTTGTCTAAGTTAGATAGTAGACAATACGTTTAATCATTTCACTGCATTACTCTTAGATAGGAAGCTGATAAATGGCCAAGCCTAGAGTAACAATTTGTATTTAGATGGTAAGAAACGTAGTTTAAGTATTTTCAAATTGTCTATCATCCTTTGCATCATCTGATGGAAGTGTGCTAACTTTATGGCTGACCTTTTTAAACCCTCACCCCTTCTCATTGAGAAGGCACCATCAGTGTGGCACTGCTAGTCATCCAAGGGAAACACCTTACTCCTGTCACAACCCGTTCAGTTTGCAGTACAACTTCGTCCTCTGACCACCATCGTAGCGTAGCAATTCACACTATATCAGTAAATGCTTTTTGCCTAAGCACTGTCCAAAAGACCTTTCTGGTATGGTAAGATCTTGAGGAAACAAGCGTTCCACCAGTGTAGCTCTTTGGATCATTGTGATATACAAGGCCGACCATCACGTCAGGTTGGCAGCTATCGATCGTTCCTATGTTCTTATTGATCGATTTGATTAACTTATGTACTCAACTGTGAGTGATCTAGTTTCGTGTCCAAACTACTGTTCTCCTACCCCCCTGCTTAATTAGCTTGATAGCAGCTTTGACATTCTCATATGATTTTATAGGGAGTTTTCGAGGCCTATTGCTGTTACTATATCAAATGAAACTGTGACTATTATTTTTCTTTATGTTGTTGTGAAGACGGAGGTGATGAAGATACCCAACCAACAACAGCACCAACAACAAGCACCAATCACCATCCACAAGAGAAACCTAAAAGAAGTAGTCTCTTTCACCTACACCTACCTAAGCAGCATCGTCTCAACTACAGGTGGTGGCGGCAGCGGCCCAGACGAGGATATCAAAGCCAGGATTGGAAAAGCAAGACAGGCTTTCATCAATCTGAAATAATCAGTGTGGAGATCTACTACATAAGGCGTGAACAACATCCGGATTTTCAACACCAATGTCAAGTCAGTGCTGTTTTATGCTTCAGAAACGTGGTATGTCACGAAAAGCACTTCCAACAAACTACAGACATTCATGAACAACAGCTACCTACGCTGGCTCGATACTGAAGATTAGGTGACCAGAAAGAATAAGCAACAAGAAACTCTGGTCGGTTGGCATCGAACCAACCAACAACCTATCACTCATCAAATATGCCGAAGAAAGTGGAGATGGATTGGATTGGACATACACTGAGGATGCCGATTGGGGACATCACACGCCAGGCTAGGGCCTCGAGTGGAATCCAACGGGAAACGACGAGTTGGGCATCGGAGGCGAGGGTGACATGCAGGAGATCATATGAGGAAGAAATGAAAGCTTGTGGGCAGTGAGAACAGAGTGCAGTGGTGGCGTGATAGTGAATCCCTATGTTCCACTAGGAACCTAAGGGAAAAATTATAATAAAATAATAATTATTGAGACTAGTATATCATAAAAATATAAATTCATCTGAAATACATGGATAGTTGAGTATTGGTTCATTTCATCTATTCTCTAGGTGGTCATTTTCTAACAAAATTATTTGATACACTAACTGAATTCACCGCTGGTTTGATTTATCTTATGGGACATCTATTTGAAGAGATTTTCATTGTAAAACCAGTGACAAGTAGACCAGCTAATTCTGAAAGGTTAGTAGACAGATTTGTGTATCCATGTATGTGTGTGTGTGTGTTTGTATTGAATCTCCATTTTTTGTTATTCATTGTAAAACTCAAAGACATCTACCTTCCACAGTGAGATGCATCGGTAACCTTTCATAAATGTCTTTTCTAGATTGATTGTCTTTTTTGCCCACCAAGTTGTTTGTAGTCGAAGAGTTTATACTAGGAAACTTCAACAGTTCTTCCAGTTAATGTAGTCGATTGTATAGCCACATCAACTTTATGATAAGTGATGACAATAAGCTCATCAACTGAGAGACAGAATCAAAGTAGAACTTCATACACAAGTTTATTGGATCAAGTTACCGCACTTCACAGTAGTATACAAAGAATAGATGAATAGAAGAACAGGGATATAAAAGTAGACAAATTAGTGTGAGAGAATCAACAGTCTGAAGACAAGGGTTAATGAAAAGATATCAAAAAGTGAATACATCTGAGTCTTCGACCACCGAATCTTTTCGTCTAGGAGACCCGACCGAGGAAGTCTACGTCTGCCCATTTAGGTCAGACTAACAGTCAGAGACTCCATCGACTGGTATCATCTCCTGGTTTAGCCACCCTGAACCCTCTTCCCCCAGTATGGCACATTGAAGTAGACAATGGCTTAGCATTCGACTAACTCGACAAAGCATCACAGACTTCAAGTGACTTGTCTTTCTTGTATAATACCCTTCACTTAACTGCATCATTGCACACACTCTGATTCCATCAAACGCAAGAAATAGTATGAAGAAACTTGTGATGAAAACAGTGTAAGTGCTTTATACCTTCTACTTTTAGTGACCATGTCTCACAGGCGTACAACAAAAAAGAATGGACTGTAGTACAGCATACTCGTCCTTTGATAGATAGTGAGTTAGCACCACAGTTGACGCAATTTGCCATATATAATGTGAACCTTCTTTACCTAAGCTGATATTTTGCCAGCAACTATACCGTTCCGGTTGATACAACTCCCCAGGTAAATGAAATGGTTGACACATCCAACCACTTCATTGTCTTTTGACTAAAAGTGGATGTTGGCCAGTTCTGGAGCATCACCATTTTATACTTGATGACAAGTGCGAACTGGAATATCATGCAGTTAGTCCCCTTTATAAATATTCACAAAATGAAAATAACAAACGGTTGTGGGGTGAGTTCAATTCACATTTTGTGTCCTCTAAATCTTCCACTTATGCACTAAGTTTAAACAGTTTACAGCGTATGCTATCATGGTACACCAGTATAAGTTATTTCATACATTTCAGTGGTAAAATCAACGCTAAATACATCTTTCACATCTAGACATCAATATAGATTATCATTAGACTATCGGAGATAGCTGTGGTACGGCAGAATAATATTGAGACTGGATGATGATTGAAGGTGAAATGAAAATTTGAATCGCGGCGGGACTCGAACTAGCGACCACAAGGTTTCCAGCCCGGCACGAAGAATATGGTGAGATGAACTAAGTTAAATATGAAGCCTCCTCATGTCACCTCCAACTGTATTTATTTATTTACCTGTACTTAGAGTAGCATATATCTCGGAAGAACGCAGAAGAATTCAAGACGCACGTTTTGTCCTGTTTAAGACTCGTCAGCTGGATGCCCTCTCCCACTTAGATGCACTCCAGGGAGTGGATGTTGTTACCCGTGAGACTCAAACCTCGTACCCAGCACTTCAAACGCCGAAGCGTTATCTACTAGACCACTGTGGCACGATAACCACCTCTTATACAACGAGTATTACTTCTAACTATTTGTTGACATATGTGTAATTCTCCGTTGTTATACTGGGTTGAATTGTTCTCTCCAGGAGGCATTTTACTGTTGAAATGTATCAAATAACTTAGACTGGTAGACACTGATACCTTAATGTAAACAATGTTTAAATTAAGTGTATGTGTGGAAGAATTAAAGGACACAAAATGTGAATTTGACTTACCCCACAAGTGTTTGTTTTCTTACTCTGCTTAATTGGAATGATACTGGTCATTAAAATATTAAAAGTAGCTGCTTCATAGACTTTAATAACTGCCATTTGTGTTCTTATAAAATACGAATAGGTATTCACTGATTAACTATGAAATTCTTGATTGTTACCTCAGCTCCTTGACCTGCTTGAATGTTTGCTGAACACTTATTATTATGATTATTATCTGTCCCTTGGGTTCCTCGTGGAACATAAGGCTTCAGTAGCACGTCGACATTTCAATCTCTTCTCTACACTCTTTGCAACCTGCTCCACGACTTCCCAAAACTTTTCATTTCTTCCTCACACGATCTCCTCCACGTCAGCCAAAGATGCCTAACTAGTCATTTCCCATTTGGCCTCCACTCGACGACCTGGCCCAGTCTGGCACTTGATATCCCTAAACCGTCTTCTCACTGTATGACCAATACAATCAATCCATCTACACTTCCTTCTTCTGAATGTTTCTTCGGAGATACCTTCTTGGTTGGTTCGTTGCCTGCCAGCCAGCCACACTTCCTTCTTACTTATTCTTATTATTCTGGTCATCTGATACATAGATAGATCTTCAGTGTCAGTATTGAGTGTGAGGGTAGGCGACAGCTGCTCATGTGGTGTATGTCTGTAGTTTATTGCAAATGCTTTCTGTAACACGTCAACTCTCTCAAATCACATAGAAACACTGACTTACTTGATTGAATTAGTGTTGAAAATCTGGATGTTGTTCAGGCTTTATGCTGGGTGCATTTCAGTGTAGTGAATTGCAGTCGATCTCCACACTGATTATTTCAGATAAATGCAGGAAGGCCTGTCTTTGATGTGTTTCCGATTCTTGCTGCTTTGACATTCTCATGTGTGCCACCACCGTCTGTAGTTGAAACGATTCTGCCTAGGTAGGTAGGTAGGAAGGTGAAAGAGACGTCTACCTTCAGATTTCTCACATTGAAGGTGATTGGTGCTTGTTTTTGTAGTTGGTTGGGTATCTTCATTACTTCTGTCTCTTCTACGTCCGCCTGAGGGAAGTTCCGTCTTCGCTACCTCGCCTCTTCTTTCAACTTGTTGTTTTTCACCTGTAGATCTCCGAGTTAGTGTGACATAAGACATCCGACATAAATGATCATCGGCGAAATCCAAGTCTTCTTTCGGGGTCTTTTCATCATTCCAGCTAGCGTATTCCCATCTTCTTGCTCCTCATAGTTTGTTGCATGATTCAGTCTAGTCCATTCCAGTCGACCACAATCAGGAAGATTATCGGTGATGTGAAAGTGGGTGACAATCTTGTCTTACACTTGCGTACACCTGACTAACGCTCACTTATACTCAACTGGACAAAGCCTGTAATAGTTCGAATTTTGTCCTGTCCATGTAGGTTTTCTGTAAATAAATCGTTTTAAGGATCCATGCTGCTGCGAACTAGATAATCTGTTCAAAATGTGAAAGCAGCCATCGTCCTCTTATACACGGATCAAGGATATGCTGCTCTATACTTCATTCAATCGGTTCAGAATTGAAGTGGACTGACTAGTGTTATGATAAATAGTTAGGAAATCGTCGACATAGCTTTCCGACACAGATGGGTTTTGGTCAGTTAGGTTCTCCGCTAAGTTTTCCATATGCTTCATAAAGATGTCTGTTTAAATGAGGCTCAAGTGACTTCCCATGACAACGCCATTAACCAGATGGAAATGTTCACCCCAAATGTAAAATTTTATCATTGGTTGTACATAAAAGTAATAGCTCTTCTATGCGATGCAGAGAAATCGGTAGTGAAAAATTATGCATAGAAATGTAATCACATAAAATGTCAATTGTCTTGACCATAGTCGATATTGGTGAATAGTGAATTAACGTCAAGTGTTTAATGTTGACATTATCAAGGTATTTCATTACTCTGAATGTATCTTTTACGGTATACGTGCAGAATCGTTTCTGAATGGGATCCAATAATTCCACTAGCCACTGGGCAAGCTTATGCGTCGGTGATTATAGGATGTAACTGGGTGTTCGATTCGTGTACTTTCAGTAAACCATAAATATGTAAGAATTACGAATCAATCGGTTTCAATGCGTCAGCTTTTTCTTTTGTAATCAAACTTATATCTTAGAGTTTCACTAGATCAGCGGTCATTGTTCTCTGGAACATTTTTACACTTATCGCTTCAAACGTCAAGTATCAAATGATAATAAATGATACCCGTTGCTCAAGAGGTGACTATCATGCTTGAGTGGCCTAGTGAGTAATGTTTTGGCGTTTGAAGCGTTGAGTACGAAGTTTGAGTCTCAGTGGGAACAACAATCACTGGGGTGCAGGTACATCCAACTGACGAGTGAGTCCCAGGCAGAATGAAACACGCATCCTGGATTCCACTGCAAGTAATCAAGGTGAATAAAACTAGAAATTATTATCACTCAAAAAAGCCTAACTGTCTATATTGTGACCGAATCGAATTATGGGCATGTGTATAGTGATACTGAGACTGAATAGACACCTCAACCGAATACTGTTACGACTAACCTCCCTCAATTCCTTCTGCTTCACTGAGCCACGAAAATTAGAACACAAAAGACTGACTGTGACTGTAAGAACAACAACTCTTAGACAAATACATAGTCTATATATACCATATATTTACATAACCCTCAGAAAATGAAGCCATAAATAAGCCAATCCGATTTATCGTATGATGTTGAATTTGTCCAATCAGGTTATCATGTCAGTACATGCTTAAATCATCAGCTGAAAACGATTTCTCTATTGGATGCCTTTTTGCCACTACCTATCAGTCTATCGTTTAACTTGTCCTCCCTACTCATTGTTTAAAAATCGGAAATTGATCTTAAACAAAAACCAGGAATGAGTAATGCTGAAGAATTGGAAAAAATAAGCTCAAGTCCATCTTATGTCCTCTGACTGCTTACAATGGTTTGTGTTATATCCCTATCACTACTACGTCGAGACATATCAAGATACAACGGTTTCCATGTATATATTTACAGTGGTCTCGAAGCTTTCTAGGCCTTTCTAGAACACCATACCCTTTTGAATTATTACTTCTTCAACCACTTTGGTATTTACACGTTGGTTCATGTGCCTTTTATCGAAAATTTGGTGCAAAATGATTGGTTGTAAAAGGCTTCAGGGATTTACGGTATCTTATGCGAATCTCTGCAGTCCGCTCTGTTCTACTGTATGGCTGTGAAACATGGCCATTGAAAGTGGAAGATATAAAAAGGCTTCAGGTGTTTGACCACCATTGCCTTCGTAGTACAGGACGTATTCCGTGGTGTCACCATGTGAGTAATGCAGAAGTTAGGTGTAGAGTTTTGGGGAGAAGAGGTAAGCCAGTTGACGAGGTTATGAACCTTCATCAACTGAAATGGTTGGGACACGTACTACGTATGCCTAGTCACCGATTGCCTCGTCACACAATACTGGCTGAGGTGGGTCCAGGCTGGAAAAGGCCCAAGACAGCCAGACTAAAACATGGCACCAATGTATGACGTCTTCTCTGACTGTTGGTTTAAGCCATGTGGTGTGATGCAGATTAGGTGGTTGGGGTCGGTGGGACAAGAGGAATCAGTGGTTGGAGACTAACTCTAGGTGATCACATGGCTCAGAACCGATGTCAGTGGTGCAGGTGTATCCCCACACACATTATCCTCATCTTAACAACGCTGTACCGAATCTCACCATTTTGCCACTCCTCTTTCCTTTCTTCTCGTACTTTATATTTCTTTTGACTGCATTCACTTATCTTCATCCTTCACCTCACTACCTTTTTACTTGATGAACTGACGTGAGGTGTGGCAACTCGGACCGTTATGCAGTAATGCCTGGTCCTATGTTGATAATGAAAGAAAGAAAGATACGAATCTCTGTAATCTTATTGTACACTATAACAGTTGATTAAATGATATCCTTCAAACTCTAGTCAGTTAGCTTCAACATGAGACATCACATTACTTCCTGACGGTTTAAGTTATTATACCTCACCCAACTAAATCAAGTTAGTAATCGCATAGACGCCAACCGAGAAGTCGACAATTCACACGAAACTTAACAGATACAATGGGTTCTGACTGTTGACTCAATTTATAACTTTTCCCTCATCTTATTCTTGGCCTGAACAATCAGATATTGTCATAAACCCTTACATAGTGTGTGTGTGTGTGTGTGTGTGTGTGTGGTGTTGTGACGACGCCTACTTTGGCATCGAAACATTTGCCAAGTAAAACCTGAAGAGCTTAGGGAAAAAAAACTAAATCTGATCATCCACATCTGTACCTGGACCTGTACATTGCATAACTATAGACAGAAGATGTAAACGTATGCTGGAAATTGTTTTGTAATCCATGAAATATGCTTCATTGTCATAATTTTTCTAATTTCTTTTTTGTAGGTATTTAGTATGCAAGAATCTACAATCATCATTATCAACAATGGCTGGTTGTTTATTACCACCTAAATCATGTGAAATAAATAATTTTGATTCAACGAATGATAATACTATTGATCAAAAGTCAAGTTTTCGACAGAAACCACGTAAATTTCCAGGTCAACAACAATATCAAACATTATCTATGAATAGTACTGGGAATTATGATGAACAAGATTTAGAGAAGAAATATGGTATACTAAATGATAAACATAAATCTGATCCACTTGGATTAGTTATCAATCATTTTTTACAAGTTAATGAAAAGTTGAATAAATTAATACTATTGAATAATTCTATTTCAACTAGCTCTAAGATGGATGTATTAAAATTATGTCAAAGTGAAATTATTCAATCAGATCAAAAATTTATGCAGTTTATGCAAAATATGAATGAAGGGTAAGTTTGTATTGTTTTTTTGTCATTTTCTAATGAATTAATGTACCCTAAAGTGATAGAAATTAGTCGATTAGTTTCTCAAACAATAAGTTGTCAGTTCCCACCTATTTTTAGCTTTACCCCAGCGGAGTAACACATTGGCAACCTTCACATAATAAGTTTAGCTCATAAGTGTTTCCATTGAATGGTGACTAGCTGTAGAATCTGAGATATGTGTTTCGTCCTATTTAGGAGTCATCAGCTGGATATAAAACTGCCTTACAATGAGGAATTTTGTTCCTATTAAGACATGATTTGAACTGGTTTTATGATTTATTTTTAATGTCAATACAAAAAGACAGGTAAGAGAACTCTTTGAATGACTTTGTGTTAAGAATAACCTGGCTTGGTTAACTAGTCCACTAGTTGCTAGGCTGTCCTAAGCCTGAGTAAAGACGGAAGGTTGGGCAAAGGGCTAGCAACCCTACCTCGTAAAACCAATACAACCGCTAAAGAAACTTCAAAGCACAGACAAAATACAAAAATGAAAAACAAACTTATTCCTCGCTGGAATCCTGGAGACGAAATCATGCCAGTTGGTGAAAGCTTGCCTTAGGGAAGCCAATTAGCAGATGTATCTTCTCGCTCTCGATGAAAGCGAAAGTAAACATGGGGACATAGAATGTCCGTATTGTGTTTGAACCTACTAAGGCTGCCTAGATTGCAAAGGAGATGAGAAGGTATAGCATTGAAGTGCTAGGAATCTGCGAAAGCAGGTGGACTGGAAGTAGACTCTCCAAACTGTCAACTGGAGAATCAATAATCTACTCTAATATTGTCACCCAGACGACAACCACGGGCACAGAACACAGATTTAAAGTGGCTACCATGATATCTCCGAGAGCATCGAAGGCTCTCATGCAGTAAGAACCAGTCTTCTCCAGGATCAAAGCAGCAAGGTCCAACTCAAAAGGAAGGAAAGTCACAATCATACAATGCTACGCACCTACAAATAATGCAGACGAAGAGAAGAAGGAGGAATTTTACAGACAACTACAATCAACACTGGACAAGACCTCAGTTGGCGATATCAAAATTCTAACGGGTGAAGTGACATGAGTGCCGAACTGGGAGCGGACAACACGGGAAGAGAACTAACCATGGGTCAAGAAGCGCTCGGTGAGGTGATGAACGAGAATGGAGAACTGTTTGCAGAACTCTGTGCATTCAACGATTTGGTGATTGGAGTCAGGCAGTGTGTTCAAAGCACAAGGATATCCACAAAGCGAGCGACATGGATTTCACCAGACACTAGGACACACTACACTAGAAATCAGGTCGACTTTATCTCAATCTCAAGAAAGTGGAAGAAATGTGAGCTTCTGGGCTGTCGTGGAGCCAGATTGAAAAGATTACAGACAACAAAGTGCAGTGGAGACGTGCTACTGAAGCTCTATCTTTCACCAGGAACCCAAGGGACAAATAATAATAAGTGTTAAGAATATCGTTAGGCTTTCAGCATTGATTAATCTCAATGGTTTATGACAGTGAATACCTTTCGATATTCTATATTGTAAGCAGATGACGAGAAACCGATGAAATAAAACTTTTCCATGTTATTTTGCTCAAATTGTTCTTCTTCCTCTTTACTAATCTAAATTCATTTCGTAACTAAGCCATCAACTGTTCAATGATAACAGCCTTTTATTAACTAAAGGTACGCTTACCGACGCCCGACAATACCTGTATTTCTCGATCTGAAGGCGGCATTTGATACCATCGGTCTAGAAGACTTATGGCAATGTCTCTCATTGATAGGGGTACCTAGTAAGTACATGTTATGAGTTCGAAGCGCTAATGGTTATATATATATATATATATATATATATATATATATATATATATATATATTCCGGAACGAGTATAATACGCGCGCTCAGCTGACAGCTAACTTGGTACGCAAGAGACACTGACTGCCATCCCAGGACGAATAGAGAGAAGACCGAAGCTGGCAGATGAGATAGTATATTATTCCGACAATATAACATAATAACAATGAATCAATCCAAAACACGTGAGTAAGTATACACATGAAAACTGACCTTGTCCGCAATAGGAGAAATTCGCATAGTAAGAGTGAAAGTTAACCAATCAGCGATTACATTACATTACAATGGGGACAGAAATAGACTATTAGTCATACCGTAAAAATGATGTGGGAATGACACGTTAAACTGTCCGGATCGATAACAATGTTATAAACAAAACTGAGGCATCACAACAGCACGTCACCTTATTCGAACACCTATGGGCATGTTAAAGTATATGAGTTGTGTACGTCTGATTTTATCCGTCGAGCATGCCTACCCTATTATTCAATTTTATCATAGCCGGCATATGGAGGTCCTCCTCTTCTCATCTGACCATATAGAGATTGAGCTGATCACAGGGGAATTTTCGTTAGACCTAGGATACGCAAATGACATAGTCCTCTTAGGTGAAGATGCTGAGAAGATACAGAGTCTTCTGATGGCCTACTCAGGATACAAACCTTTTAGTACAAAAATCTGATGGATAAGAGATGATATCTCACCAGTTTAAGCACTCAATTTTCATCCAACAACTTTTTAGCTCGAACGCAGTCTCACTAGACTCAGCCTGGGCTACCATGAAATATCATAAGCCCTTGGATAATAATCCTGGTTTGTGTCCATTCTACCGGGCTTGGTTGTATTATTCATCATTACAAATGGAAGACATGAAAGGGTCACAAGGTTTTGATCATAGGTGTCTTTGCAGCATTGGTCGTATTTGGTGGAATCATCATGTAGACAATGTCGAGACCAGACGAAAGGTTCTAATCAAGGCAGACTAGTCGACTGATGTGATTGTGAATTTTAGTCGACTGAAATGACTTGGACGCGTATTGTACACGCCGATCCATCGCCTGCCTTGTACCATCCTAAAATATGTCGGATTATGTTGAAAGAGTTGAGAGTGGCCATGCCAAGATGTGGGACCAGTCGGAAAGCCCCTGACTGCTGGTGTGAGCCCTGTGGGAGGTATAGACTATCTGGTTGGGGTCCTTGAGACGAAAGGAATTAGTCGTTGAGAAATTTTGGTAACATGGCTGAGAATCGGTCGAAATGACTCACATGTATACACTCCTGGACATCATCTATGGCCTGAACATTTGCCCTAATCGTTATGTTTAGATTTCCTTTTCTGTCGGACAATTTTATCTCTTTTGATATCATTCTTGTATCCACTTGTTCTTTGTACACTACGTGTGAAGCGTAGCTACTTGAATCGATGCACTCGCATACGAGGTTTTACTTTGATTCTGCCTGTCTGTACATATTTCTCATAAGCAGGACGCTGAACAAAAAAAACATTGATACAGGGTTGAAATCACTGTAGAATAATGTGTTGTATTGTGCAGGTTTCGCTTTGGTATACTTTGCGTCGGTAATAGTGTCAAGCGAATGACGTTCACTAATCTCTACAGATAATCATGATACCGTTTCGCACCCAATTTCTGCTTCAATGTTGACATTGTTATCATTATCATTTGACTGTCTGAGAAAGCAGCTGTGGTTTGGTAGATTAGTATTATGCTGGGTAGTGATTGAAGGTGAACTGCAGCCGGATTCGAACCAGTGACCACCGGGTTACCAGCCTGTCACTTTACCAACTGAACTACGAGATCTGACTGCTAACCATCTTCAATCATTACCCAGTACAAACTGTTATCATTAGTTATATCGCTCGTATAAACATATGCAACGTAGTTGCACCAGTTGTAACATTGAACCTTTTTTTCCTTTCGTAAATGATAGTAATTTCGCTTCCCAATACTTTTTTCCCCCTTACATTCTAGGATAGCTGAGCATCAGTGTATTGCCTTGTCTAAACTGATTGCATTTTCACAGAATCATAATTTGATTGAGGATCGACAAGTTGAATTGCATAAAGCTTGTTTAGAAAAATGGAAGGTATATTTTCTTGTTGTCTCTTAGTGTTTTTCTTTCTTACTATCAAGATTACTGCACAAAATGATCTTGACATGACTATGGATAATAAATCATATCCAAAATGTATTCCAGTGAACAATACTGTTCAGCTGTATGATATGTCTAATAAATCAGTTAAAATGGAATTGCATTCTACCATAGTGCTTAAGTTTTACTCTTATATTGAAGAGATTTTCGATGAACAATTAGTGAATCGACGGAAGTAGAGAACTGTGGATCATTGAACTCCGACTTAGTGGCTGATAGTTTACACGTTCACCATGTGGCCTGAGTTCGATTTTCAGTAGGGTCGTGGGTAAGTACTGCTAAAGAGTCCTGTTCTAGGACGAAACAGTGGTCAGGTGCTGACAGGTTTTTATTGGTTTTTCAACTGATGTCAATAGGTGATGCGATTCAGGTGAATATTGAATGGAAGTTCTGCTCCCTCATTCCAAGACTTTGGTGTTATCTGCACATGACCACTTATGACCAAACGTATCAACTTGTGGCTCTAGAGGCAGCTTATTGCTTCCATTAAAGTGTCTACAATAATCATTCTAACCATCATCAGCACAAACTTCAGAAAGAAGTCTGAAGTTTAGTCAGTTGTCCTGATGACCTTGGGTGTGATTGGTTATTTCTACTACAATCTTGTCATTGTCTACATGCTCATTTCAATTGGTTATCCTTTCGACAAAAACTCTGACCTTCTATTTGTTTTTTGTGTTTCTGATTGGATGATAATAGATTGTGTCAATGTGAGTATGTCCGTTGATCTTTGACTGGTCCAAATCCCAGAGAGTTTTTAAAAGCTAGAGTTTGGACCAGTCAGCGATCAATAGACATACTGACATTGACACAATCTATCATCATCCAATCAGAAACACAAAAAACAAATAGAAGGTCGGAGTTTTTGTCGAAAGGATAACCAATTGAAATAAGCATGTAGACAATGACAAGATTTTAGTAGTAACAACCAATCACATCCAAGGTTACCAGGATAACTGACTAAGCTTCAGACTTCTTCCTGAAGTTTGTGCTGATGATATTGTCCTGAATGAAATCAAAGCTTCACGATTAAGCCATCCAGCTCAGAGAACAAAACATAACTCAAATCATCCTCCTGAGCTACAAATATTCTCCATCTATTTCAACGGCGAACGTTGTTTGTTCTGTTAACGATGAGGAACGTAATTCTCCTCAGTATGGATTAGCCAGTTATCCTGTGTGTGTTGTAGTGGTATTGTAAATCCTCATACGATAAATGTTTGGCTGGAAATCTGTCATACAGAGAGGCACATAGTTGTAAGTTTTATTGTGTTTCCAGCAACTAGTGGGATCTCAGTTCTGGAGACCAGTGTCGCAATGATGAATAGATGTCATCAGTAAGTCGAAATAATTGTTGGATTTTTTACTGATGTTTCAATGGAATCTACTAAAGTGTATCTGATAATCTGACTATGTTTGCTGCATGTGTACTTTTCTTTCAAGGTCCCACTTGTAGAACGTCGACTTACCCCGTGGCCTCTATTATCCGCCAATCGTTCAGTCATCATTCATGGTTTATTAGGAGTAAGTTGCTTTTTGTTACCATTGTTTTTATTATTTCGATTGAAAACCACTTGATTTCGCGTGTTCTTCGCTTCCGGTGGCATAGTAATCATTGCCATTATCATTGTGAGTAATATTATTATTATTCTCAATGCAATACTATTATTATTATTATTATTAGAACACAAAGGTGGTACGTCAAGGTCACTAAGAAATATGCCACACCAAATAGTATAACTACAATGTGAAAACATAAACGATAGGAAGCATATAAAGTAAGGAAGGAGAATAAGAATGGTATGATTAGAAGAGCAGTCCAGTAAGGTGCATTCAAAACGAAACATTCATTCCTTTTCAACAGCAGAAGATTGGCGGAAGCTACAGCATGACTGCCACTGGTTTCCATTTTGAACCATATTTGATGACGTCTCAAGCTACGTAGTTGCGTGATCTCTCGGACTCCACCCAGGGAGTCATGATGTACAGACATGTGCTAACCCGATACAACTATTCTCCATCTCACGACCCCAAGCCGTACACTGACTAACCCTTTGTTTCCTTATCCAGCCTTACGGGAAGCAAACAGTAGACGATATGGAGCTGTTTAGGCGACATGCGTAACACATATTCAAGCCACCGAAGCTGGTTTTTCCAGATGACTTCACTTATTGAATGACGATTTCCATTATGCCCAAACACATGCTGTTGTACCTCCGAATTACTTACATTGTGTTACTACTAGATACGATCAACGATGGTCGAATATACAGAGTCGTTGCACATCCTCAGCTTGGAGATGGCAGGTTTCACAGGCTAGTGGAGAAACACTCGCACTGAAGCGTTGTAAACCTGACTTTTTGTAGTGATATTAACGTCGCAATGGCGCTAAAGGTAGCCCAGATTGACGTATGCCCCTCTGGCTTTCGATATGCGGTTGGAAATTTCACCATTCACACCTCCACCAGCATTCACACAGCTACCCACATACAATGAACTTTTCGACTACTTCCAACCGAGGGTAAGCTCAGGCACAGGCTACTGCCAATGTTGCAAGAGTAGTTTGCACTTCAACGGTGCAAAGCACATACCATACTTACGGACACTGATAATCATAATAATACACCGTTATCATGTATTGTCCTCCCCAACGTGATGGATGGTAAAGATTTACGTTTGAGGAAGATGGTTTCATCACATTATTGTTCTCTCAATTGAATATCTGAAGATAAATGGTAAAACATAAAAGTATAGGGCAACTCGATAACCACATGTGCGTTTGTGTAGCTAGTAGTTAATCACACCTATTATATGAGAACTCATATTACTACCTGTCTGCGTAGATGTTGATAGGTGGAGTGGGGGTTTGAACCCTCCATCTACTGGTCAGAAACGTCAAATACCTAGAGCAATAAACCACGTTTGTATCCAATGATGATTACGAGGCTGAGACTACCATGCTAGAGAAGTATTTCAAGTATTCATTTGTCAGACGGCTTCAGATACTTTTTAGTCGCTTTCTCTCAGCCGTTGCGAATGGATGAATTTGTCTCCTTTTCAAACACTCTTCTTGTTTGATTGTTGGTATGGTTCTCTATACCAATTTCTGATTTGTTTCTAAATCCAATTTATCGTAATACGCCTGTCTATCAGTTAGACTTGTGAGATGTGCTCTAACCTTCATGAAGTTTGGTCAGTCTAATGTCTACTCTTGTAATCATCTTAACTTCTTTATTCAAAGGTTTGTGTATTTCTGCGGGTCAGACAGACATTAACAACGTAGACTTTGCATCAATGAGTACGGTTTGGTGCGATGGTTACTTGGTTCGAGTCTCAGTGGGACAACATCATCCACTAGGGTGCAAATATATCCAGCTGATAGATCTCAAACAGGACGAAACGCGCGTTTTGGACTCCTCTGCTGGCCACCACCAAGCAGACTATAGAGTCACAGTCCAGTTTGTCGTATGGATCGAGATAGCTAACAGTAGAGGAGACAGAACAATAAAAAGAATATTATCTCTCATAGATTACCATAAAATAAGTAGCAGCATGTATATAAAGCGTGTTGCAGAATTCGACTCGATGATCATTACAGTGAAACCAAAGAGTACAAAGGTATCCGTACCCACTATGTTCAATTTTGAGTTTTATCAACATCTAAACTCTCCAACTATCATTGATTTCAGTTGGCTCATTGACCCAATGCGGAAGCCTATATTTGCATACTTATTTGAAATCAACTGTTGCTACTTTTGTTAGTTTAAACACCCTTATTCATTTAACAGTATTCCATTTTTTTGTACTTGTACGGTGGTTACTCTACTTGACCAGGCGTACTAAGTTAATCGACTTTATGCACAGTTGTCATTTCCTTCAACACTACGGTTTTAGTGCCACAAATCTTTATCAGCCTCATTCAACAGCAGCCATATGTTATATGATGCTACATGTCAAGTGATTGACAATGGAAAGCTCAGTGATGCATTTCCAGTGAAGACAGGGGACAGGAGTAAGACAAGGTTGCCGCCTACTGTCACATCACCGATGCTCTTCCTGATTGTGGTCGACTGGAATGGACTAGACTGGATCATGCAACAAACCATGAGGAGCTGTGAGAAGATGGGCTTACGTTGTTTGACTGATGCGATCTTAGAAGAAGATTCGGATTTCGCTGATGATGATGATTTAGGTCTAATATCTTATGTCGCACAAACTCGAAGATTACAGGTGAAAACTGTCAAGTTGGCAGAAGAGGCAGGACAGCGAAAATGGAACATCAGGTGAAGGTAGAGAAGACAGAGGTGATGCAGATACTCAACCAACAATATTAACAACAAGCACCTATCATCATCGACAGGTGAAATCTAAAGGAAGTTGTCTCTTCCACCTACCTTCCTACGCGGCATCGTCTCAACTACGCGCAGCGGTGGTGGTACAAATAAGGACGTCAAAGCCAGAATCTGAAAGACATTAAGACAGGCCTTCCTGCATTTATCTGAAATATCAGTGTGGAGATCTACTGCACTACACTGCACTCAGTATTAAGCGTGAACAACATTCGGATTTTCGACACTATTTCAGTCAAGTAAGTCAGTGTTTCTATGTGATGGTTGAGAGAGTTGGTGCGTTACAGAAAGCATTTCCAACAAACTATAAACATTCATCAACAGCTGCCTACGCTTGATATTGAAGATCAGATGGCCACAATGATAAGAATAAGCAGCATAGATGTTCGACTGGCAACGAACCAACCAAGAAGATATCTCCGAAAAATATTCAGAAGAAGGAAGTGTAGATGGATTGATTGTATTGAACATACAGTGAGAAGACGGTTTGGGGACATCACGCACAAGGCCCTCGAGTGGAAGCCAAATGCGAAATGACGAATTTGGCGTCGGAGGGTGACATAGAGAAGATCGTGTGAGGAAGAAATGAAAGGTTCTGGGCAGTAGTAAAGCCAGGTTGCAAAGAGTGTAGAGAAGAGAGTGAAATATCAGTGTGCTACTGAAACCCTATATTCCACTAGGAACCCAAAGGACAAATAATAATAATAATGAAGCAATATTTGTTTGCTAGAGGAGTGCTCATAGACTACTAGTCAATTGACATTTTGAGAATTCATACGATATGATGTTGCCGGGCTGTAGGTTTTCAAGAGAAACTGTCTCTTGATTCCGCCCAACTTATGGATATTCGTGAAATCCAAAATGATTGTGCATCATCGAGAACGGTACAGTAGTCACTGATTTACTATAGTATCTAATTATTCAACTGAATTACCTGCAGGTCACTGGTTCGAATCCAGCCGTGACCTAGATTTTCACTTCACCTTCAACCACCACCCAATATCAACAATATGAATCTGCTAAACCACGCCAATCTCAGGTACTCAAACTGGTAATCAATATGATGCTCCCCCTCTCTCTAATTCAGCTTGATTTAGATTGCAGTGAGAAGTCCTTTCTGGGCATCGTGTGAATTTGATGAACGAATAGTAGTAACGCATGTCGAATTTACATGGCACTTGGAAAAAAACGCTTGGGGATTGAAGTGAAATTAACAACTGGTCAGCAGTCAGGTATCGTATTTCACTTGGTAGAGCATCGGGCCGCAAACAGGGAGGACATTGGTTCAAATCCTCCCGCAGCCCGGATTTTCATCTCGCCTTCAATCGTCACCGAGTATCAATGATAATAATAGACAAGAATTCAAGGTCAATAATTTATTACCAATATGATTGAAGGCTCTTTTCTCTTTACTATGACGGTATTTTTCATAAATAGTTGTCTTTTATTACTTGAAACTGTGGCTTATTGATCTGGGGAGTTTCGATTTCAACCTGTGAATCAGGTGTTTGGACCCCGCTCCACCTACCATGGTTTGATTAGTCAGTCACTAAAGTGTGACTCATTGTCCAGTGCATGATGGGTTTCATCCTCATTAAGGGTGCATCGATCGTATTTTCATCCTCTGACAGGTTCTGGAACACATACATACCATCCAGTGGCCGACACTTGCCATGTTTCTTGACCTGAAGCGACATTCGGCTCTGTCAACCGTGTGTTGTTGTGGCAGTGTCTAACTGTGAAATGAGTACTGAGCAAGTATATAATTCTTATCAAAGCTCTCTGCTTGAACGCACGCATCCGTTTAAGGGCTTATGGAGAGTTGTCAAGTGGGTTGACGACAACTAGTGGTGTCCGGCAAGGATATCCACTGTCACCGTTCCCACATAACTTCATCGTATACGTACTGATGGACACAACCTTAGGTACGTCTGACTTCATAGGGATTCACCCACTCCCTGGAGGTCATTTGGTTGACTTGGAATTTGCAGTCGATATTGTCCTACGAGATGAAAATGCTGACAAAATACAGGGTCTTATGAACTCGTTGAGCAGAAATCTAAGTATGTTTGCCTGGCATGGATTTCACACCTGTCAAACTTGATGCTCCAACGCTAGTCTGCTGCAAATACTCCTATTTTTATGATAGTGACTGAAGTGGTAGGATGTGTCAACCACTTCACTTACTTGTGGAAGTGCATCAGCCCAGATGACCGGTTGCTGACGAAATCTTGGAGACAGAACACTCGTTCGGAATTCGCCAAATCGCGTCACCTATCTGCATTTCGTTCTCTCCTGTTATACGGCCGTGATACAAGGTGTTTGATCATAGGTGTCTTCGTGTCATTGCTCGCGTTTGGTGGAAACACAATGTGACCAATGTTGAGGTCAGACGAAAGCTACTAGGCAAGATAGGAAAGCCGAATAACAAAGTTGTGAACCTTGGTCGACTGAAATGGCTTGGAAATGTACTGCGCATGCTGAGTTATCGCCTACCTCGACATGTCATGGTAAGGGAAGTTGGATTAGGTTAGAAAAGGGTTTAAGATGACCAGACTAACATGTTGTACCAAGCGATGAATTCTGTGACTGTTCGTTTGAGCAGTTTTGAGAGATATAGGCTACCTGGGTGAGGTCCCCAAGATTCTTAGTAACTTGGCTGAAAATCGGTCACAATAGCGCAGCTGTATTCACTCCTTAACATCTTGTAAAGGTTGAATATTTGTACTGACCTTTATCCTCAGATTGTTTATTCTGTCACACGAAATTGTCTACTTTGATATCACTCCTTTTCTATCCACTTGTTCTTTGTATACTACTGTAAAGTATGGCAACTTGAATCGCTGCTCTTCTGTGAGAGACTCTACGTTGCTTTTGTCAGTCAGTCAGTGTCAGTACATGAAAATTCGGATCAGTGAGTTGCATTCTGCCTTTCATAAGCTACTTCCAAGGCTTTATGTACTTTAAATTATTGACGATATATACCTATTTATTCATGTATAAGAACAAGATATGGTTTCATTGAGAAAGAAATATTTCTTTTCAACGACTTCATTGTCAATATGTACAGTCGTATTTATACTCAGTAAAGTGACAGATAATTACACTGGAAAGAGACTTACTCAGTCAATATGTAAAACATACAATAGGTGTAGGTGGTGGTAATTGTTCAAATGGAAGCGATAGAAAACGGGTCACTGTGAATCAGGAACGAACTAATAAGAAATAGTGAAGTATGAGAGAAATGCTGTCAAAGAATTGAAAAACGGTGATAATGATGATGATGATAATAAAAGAGTAGTATACCAAAGTGAAGTAAAAGAAGTTGACAAATTAACTAAAAATGAATTATTAAGTCCAATGTAGTGAAAGTGGTTTCATAAAACGTTTTTGAATGCAAAATTTCAGTTTTTGTTCATGTATAGGTGGTAATACTTCAGCTATGCATAAGTGGTGGAAACGTAGACCTTTGTAAATTACTTTCAAGGATAAATCGCATGGATCCGAATGACCTAACTCTACTAGGTGTTCACATATCGATCAATTTGTTCTTCTTCATCCACCTTCGGTAAGCTGAAGTGGCTAATGTTCAGCAACACGTTTTCGGAGGGCCATCTTACAACGTGCAATATAGTCAGCTCCACAGGAGTATGTGAATTTGTAGACACATAGATGTGGACATAAGTGGGTAGCCTATCCTTCACGGATCGACGAATTAGACGGCGGGTGGAGAATATCAATCTCGGTCTAGCAGCATAGAAGCTACCATTGATACATCTTGACAGATGATTTTTCATCACTTCGACTGTGATGTCTCCTTTGAATTCTAATTCATGGTTAAGATTTTCTTAGGGACTGTAATGGAATGGGTAGTGATTCGTTTCTTCAGATTCTTATCAATAAATCTCTTAGGGTATGCGTTATTCAATAGTTTTGTTCTAAACGTTTCAATTTCAACATCCATTGTGTCCTCTGAACAGATTTTATTGTTTCTGGAACACAACAAATAGATGAGATTTGTTTTATAACTATGAAAGTTAGTGAAGTGACCAGTCCAAGTTGGTTTTTGGCTAGTGTGTGATCATTGAATGGAGCGATTATGTACAGAAAGTGGAACATTGAATTTAACTTTTCTTCTACAGTGAATTTCATGGACGAATGAAAATCATTGAAACGTCTTAGTAGTTCATCCACTGAACATGTTTCATCAGAAATAAAGTTCAGAGATTTACCATAATTATTCCTATTTTTATTTAATTTTATCATCAAGAAGTTAATGTAACGCAACAATGATAATGTTGTCTAGCATATCACCATTCTAATGATATAATCCAAAAAAAGTTTCATTGTTTACTTTTTATTATCTAGGATAAGGAGAAATTTATATCGCTTAATATGTTACCATCAGAATATCGTCCTAATATTAGACTTACATCGTTTAATAATACTCATTTCAGTAATTTAGATGCTTTAATTGGTAGTCGAATTGCTTTAGTCTGTGGTAATCCATCATTGACATCAACTTCAGAACCAGCTCAGTCAATGTTCATTTATTCACGTGGAAGTGGAGTTATGGTAAATAATCTATACGAATTTTGATTTTTAATTATTGTATAATTGAAATTCGATTACTTTTTACTCTGAAAGATGAAAATAATCGTTGTCTATGGCACCACGTATAACATACGTATTGGCATGTGTGTGTGTGTGTGTATGTCAGTTAAGTACTAGAATTAAATCTCTACAGTCCTACTGTAGACATTTGAGGTCTTGTTACTCTCTCTCTCTCTGTATGTGTGTGTATGTGTGTGTTGAGTAACAGATTCCTTGGTTTGTGTCACATATTGGTTTATGCGGTTGACTTTCAACCAAATAGGTCATACATTCCAACGAGGTTTAAACAGCTGTAGCTCATTGCTCAGAATATAAACTATACTTTCTATAATTGGACTCATCTCTCTTTATTCTGGCTGCTGTGAGCTAAAAAAAACCTTTTACTGATGTCATGCTACCAGTCTCCATACTGAGCACTGTTTTCTAACATTGAAATTGATTGGTAAAGGGAACAAATAATTGATTAGATAGTGTCTAACAAGAAAATCCTGGACGTGCATTTCTTATTTACGACTGATCAGTTAGACGTACCTGCTTCCGGTAAGTGATGTTGCCCCCACTAAAACTGGAGCCGAGGACTAATCACTACAAACCCCAGTGCGTTTTCCACTAGACTACTGATATGTTCCCTTTGTATCCCACTTTTATATCTTCACTTTTATACTACTCAGTATTTTTTAGTAGTATACTTTATGTTTCCTTATAATGTTGCCACACCCACAGTCTTGACTTGTTCGTACTGTTCAATCGTATCTTATTCACCATTTAACATTCATTGATATCAGTATCTTTCACAGTTCATGATGGTGTTGTAATTTCTTTCCTTATTCCCTTATGTTTTATTTTACTTTGGCCATTTGTTTATCTTCCGTCTTTACTTCATCATGAGACCTAAATCGCACCCCTTTATACTCCCTTCTGGGTTGCTTGTAAACAGCCTTGCTGTTTTCACTATTGACGCACTCTTTGCAAATGTTTTGATAGCAGGTTTATCGACCTGCACATACTTCACGGTTAGGAGTTTGTGTTCTATTACTCAATATTGTTTATCATTATAGAACCGTATTTCAGACAAATTTTATGTTTTGGATTTTACGCGTAACTCGAGAGTTTGTTTGTTATTGAGAAGTCACTTGTTCACTTTGGTTCCAAATTTCTAGGAAAGAAATTCATAGCTTATAATTTCTAGTTATTGATCGGACCAAAATGATGGACATTATCAAGGTATCCGTACAGGAGCCTGTTTGTCGGTGGTGGCTGATCGATCCAGTCCAATCAACGATGAGTAATTACAGGCTATAATATCTAAACATCCTTGGTCTCTGAAAGGTTGCTTGACTGATGGATCACAGAAACTGACGCATATGATGCAAAAATTGACTGTAGTTTTTGTTTTTTGTATAGGCAGCAATTCAAAGTACAATGTAGTTGATTTAATAAACCGCTCCATGCTGAAAAAGTGAGACCGTCATGGAAACTCTGTCAAAATGTAATGAGATGTTTATGCTATGTCTTACTATTGATAATAACAATTTTGACTGAAGGCAATCCAAGTCATATTTGAGTACATCCCGCCGATGAGTCTCAAATAGGATAAAAACGTGTATCCTGTTTCCTAATGCTAGCCAGCCACCAATTAGATTACAGTACTTCGGTTTCTACTGAACGGAACCTGCATTATTTTAAATGTAGTGTCTCTTAGAAGTGTTCAACAAAAGTGTTGCAGAAAGACCTGTAAAATGAAAGAACATAACTCTGTTACCTGTGAATTCACAGGGATTTATCTACTGGTTGACTTGGAGTACGCAGACGATATTGTCGTGTTCAGTGAAGGTGCTAACAAAATGTAGGGCTTTCTGGATGCATTTGGGAGAAATCTGTATATGTTTTTGGCTGGCATGTGTATCGTACTTTTCAAATGCAAGATGATACTTCTAGACTGCAAATACTCCCAGTTTAATGATGGGAATACCTTGATTATTTCACATACTTATGGAGTCGCATCAGCTCGAATAGGCTGGTCACTGACGGAATCTCAGCTTGGATAGAGAAGGGCTGTTCGCCATTTGCTAACTTGCATCATCTCTGGCACCGGCCAACGAGATATTCGAATACGTATTAAAGGATGGGTATTCCATGCTGCAGTTCGTTCTATCCTGTTATACGGCTGTTAGGTATAGCCACTAATAGTGAAAGATATGAAAAGATTTCAAGTTTTTGACCACAGATGCTTTCGTAGCATTACTTGCACATAGTGAAATCACCATGTGAGCAGTGTTGAGGTCAGGAGAAGAGCACTGGACAAGACAGGCAAGTCGACTGATGGGGTTGGGAATCTTCATTGACTGAAACGGCTTGGATGTGTGCTGCACATGCTGAACCTTCGTTTAACTATACGTGCCATGCTAAGGAAAATTGAAGTAGGGTTCAGGGTGACCAAACTAAATGTGGCACTAATCGATGAAGTCCCTGACTAATGGCCTGAGTCTTGTAGGCAGATGTAAACTACACTATAGCCCAAATGTCTTTTAAAGCTTGAATGTTTTAAGTAACCCTAATTGTTAGGGTTAGGGTTGGAGACCCTAGGTGATATGGCTCAGAACCGAAGTCAGTGACGCAGATGTATACACACATTATCCTCATCTTAACGATGCTATACCGAATCTCACCATTTTGTCACTCCTCTTCCCTTTCTTCTCGTACTTTATATTTCTTTTGACTGCATTCACTTATCTTCATCCTTCACCTCACTACCTTTTTACTTGATGTGCTGATATGAGGTGTGGCAACTTGGACCGTTACGCAGTAATGCCTGGTCCTATGTTGATAATGATGATAATGATGAACCCTGATTGTTAAATTCTCTCTCCTCCTACCACCCCCTTGTTCTTTGTATATTACAGTGAAGTATGGGAACTTCAACAGATTCTATTGTATGCGAGGTTCTACGTTGATTTTATCTATGTGAGAAATGAACAGATCCGGAGAAATAGCATAGAGTTTGGCATTATTACATGTCGACTTAAATCACCTCATCGGAAAGAAGTCAACAAGATGGAGGGCAATTAAATGAAAATGATATTATCGACAATAAGCCAGAATGCACTACTGCCCATTCTACTTCATATTGAGTTATCTAAACGATTTAATGAACGGTGTTTGTTACCTGATACATATCAGACCGTTTTCGTGAAGCGGGCGACCACTTTGTCCAATGTACTGTTGACTACAGTTATCCAGTTGATTTTGTAGATGATATCCGGTTTGTATTCTCTGACTGTTGTTGGATCCTTTTGTCTGCATAATAGTGTTTAGAGGGGATTTGTTGGTCGATGAGTGGCTACACCAATTTCACTTATTGGTCTCAGTAATCATTATCCTGATCTCTTCATGTACGGCAAGATGATGTGTTTGTTGATTTCTGTCGATGACTTTGCAGTTAATAATGAACGGGATTCGCATCTTCACCCTATTGTACATAAAGAATATATCAGAAATCACGACAACATTACTGAAACCACTTGGAATTGGTGTGGCTCATAAACCAACAAATTCCCTACAAACACTATTATGCAGACAAAAGGATCCAACAACAGTCAGAGAAGACAAACTGAATATCATCTACAAAATTAACTGCAATAACTGTAGTCAACAGTACATTGAATAGATTGGTCTCCCACTTCACCTTCGTCATTTACATGAACACCAATTGACTATTAAACGTCACATATGACACATAAGTCACCACTCATTCCAATCCACCTGGATAACAACTACAGACATGAATTCAATTTCGACAATGTAGTACTCATCTTGGATAGAGAGAGGAAACACAAAGAATGTGAGAGAACTTCTAGAGGCTTGACATTCACGTCAATCAGTAGTCAATAGATGAATGTATTGACATAGACCCAATCTATCGACGAATGAGAAAAGTGATCAACAACAGAGAGGTCAGACGTGAAGCAGAGGAACAGGTAACAGTAAAATCTATACAGTCAGTCAATGAATGATATAACAATCAAAGGAGATAACCACCAATCAGAAAGTAGTTGGTCAGGGCAAGTTACTGAATGACTCACTCACTGACTGATGGAGGATATTGACAGCTGACACCATAGAGAAGTTAGTGGTGATGGATGATATCGTCTAGAGGGAGGATGGAAGCTCCACAGTTAAACAAACCACCCAGTGAACACAATACAACCGAAGTGCAGTTTATCAATACATCTATAACCATAAGATAAATTATTGAGAATACTTGGCACTATTATTACAAATTCATATGTTACACAAAACTGATTATTATTATTATTATTAGTCCCTTGGGTTCCTAGTGGAACATAGGGCTTCAGTAGCACGCCTCCAGTGACCTCTGTTCTCTGAGATCTTTTGAACCTGGTTCCACGACAGCCCAGAAGCTCTCATTTCCTCCTCGCATGACCTCCTCCATGTCACCCTCGGACGTCCAACTCGTCGCTTCCCATGGGGATTCCACTCGAGGGCCTGACGCGTGATGTCCTCAGTCGGCCTTCTCAGTGCATGGCCAATCCATCTCCACTTCTTCCTGCATATTTGTTGCGTGATAGGTTCTTGGTTGGTTCGTTCCCAGAGTTCCTTCTTGCTTATTTTTTCTGGCCATCTGATCTTCAGCAGCGAGCGTAAGCAGTTGTTGATGAATGTCTGTAGTTTATTGGAAATGCCTTTCGTGACGCGCCAAGTCTCTGAGCCATACAAGAGCACTGACTTGACGTTGGTGTTGAAAATCCGTATCTTGTTCCACATGCTGAGTGCAGAAGATCTCCACACTGGTTTCAGGCTAATGAACGCCTGTCTTGCTTTTCCGATTCTGACTTTGACGTCCTCGTCCGTCCCGCCTGTAGTTGAAACAGTGCTTCCTAGATAAGTGAAGGAGGTTACTTCCTTCAAGTTTCTCCCGTTGACGGTGATTGGAGTTTGTTGTTGTTGTTGATGGTGGTGGTGCGGTATCTTCATCACTTCTGTCTTCTCTATATTCACCTGAAGTCCCGTCTTAGCTGCCTCTTCTGTCAACTTGTTAGTTTTTGCCTGCAGATCTTCAAGTTTATGTGACATTAGGCATAAGTCATCGGCGAAATCCAAGTCTTCTAGGTTCTTTTCCGTCGTCCAGTGTATCCCCCTCTTCTCGCTGCCTACTGTTTGCTGCATGATCCAGTCCACCACAATAGGAATATCATGGGGGATAGTAGGCAACCTTGTTTCACTCCTGTCTTCACTTCAAAGGCATCACTGAGCTTCCCATTGTGGATTACTTGGCATGTGGCATCTTCATATAGTTGTTGAATGAGGCGGATAAAGGTTTGCGGTACTCCGTAGTATTGAAGCAGTTTCCAAATTACTTCTCGGTCGACGCTGTCAAAGGCCTTCTCAAAGTCGATGAAGTTGAGGTATAGAGCTGATTGCCATTCTACGCTCTGTTCTATGATGATACGAAGCGTTGCAATTTGGTCAGCACATGATTTGTACTTCCTGAAGCCTGCCTGTTCCGGTCGCAGTTTTGAATCCAGTGCGTCTTTAAGCCTCTCCAGGATGATGCGGCTTAATATTTTACTTGGGGTGGATAGGAGAGTGATTCCGCGCCAGTTCTTGCAAGCACTGAGGTCTCCCTTCTTCGGCAGTTTGACAAGGTAACCCTTCTTCCAATCGTCAGGTACCTTCTCTTCCCTCCACACCTTCTGCAATAGTGGTGTGAGCATGTCCGCTGTTGTCTCTGCATCTGTTCTCAGTGCTTCTGGCGGTATTCCATCTGGTCCTGCTGCTTTCCCGCATTTCAGTAGCTTTATGGCGTTCAGGACTTCCATTTTCGTTGGGGGATTTATGTTCACTTGTAATTCAGCGGCTGCAGGTGGTATTTCTGGACGAAGTGCAGGTGGTGGTCGATTCAAGAGCTTCTTGAAGTGGTCGGCCCATCGTTTCCTCTGTTTCTCTTCTTTTGTAATTAAATTTCCTTCTTCATCTTTTATTGGTTTCATCTGTGTTGGTCTCTTCCCTGATAGCAACCTGGTTATTTGATACAATGTCGTCAGGTCTCTCTTACCTGCAGCCTGTTCTGCTTCACTTGCCAGTGTTTCGTAGAAGTGTCTTTTGTCTTTGCGTGCACTCTTCTTCACTTCTTTATCCAGTGTTTTATACATTGTGCTCAGTTCCTCTTGTCGTTGAGCATCCTTGCACTGGTTTATCTTCTGCTTCACCATCCTCCTCTCCTCTATCAGCTTCCAGGTATCCGTCGAGATCCATTCCTTGTCTTCTTTCTTCTTCCTTCCTAATACTGTTGTGCAGGTTTCTTTCCACATAGCTTTCAAAGACTTCCAGTGTTCTTCTACACAGGTTTCTTCAGGGATGTCCCTCGACGTCTCCCATTTTGTCTTGATGGCTGCTTTGAAGATCTCCTTTGTAGTTTCATCCTTCAGTTTCCGAGTGTTGTACTTGAATTGAGGTCTATCACCAGCTTCCTTGAAGGCTTTTAACTTGATTTGGAAGGTTCCTTGCACTAGATAGTGGTGGTCTGAACCTACATCTGCTCCTCTTCTTGACCTTGTGTTAAGTAGACTGCGTCTCCATTTTCTTGAGATTGAGATAAAGTCGATTTGATTTTTAGTGTGTCCATCTGGTGAAGTCCATGTCGCTTTGTGGATATCCTTGTGCCTGAACACACTGCCTCCAATCACCAAATCGTTGAATGCACAGAATTCTGCAAACAATTCTCCATTCTCATTCATTTCACCTAGCGCCTCTCGACCCATGGTTAGTTCTCTTCCTGTGTTGTCCCCTCCCAGTTTGGCATTCATGTCGCCCATTAGAATTTTGATATCGCCAACTGACGTCTTGTCCAGTGTTGACTGAAGTTGTCTGTAGAATTCCTCCTTTTTCTCTTGCTCTGCATTATTTGTAGGTGCATAACATTGTATGATTGTGACCTTTCTTCCTTTTGAGTTGAATCTTGCTGTCATGATCCTGGAGGAGATTGGTTCCCACTGCATGAGAGCCTTCGATGCTCTTGAGGACATCATGATAGCCACTCCCTCAGTGTGCTCGTGGTTGGCGTCTGGGTGACCGGAGTAGATTATTGATTCTCCAGTTGACAGTTTGGAGAGTCCACTCCCATTCCATCTGCTTTCGCAAATCCCAAGCACTTCGATGTTATACCTTCTCATCTCCTTTGCAATCTGGGCTGCCTTACTGGGTTCAAACATCGTGCGGACATTCCATGTCCCCACGTTTACTTTCGCTTTCATCGAGAGAAGACACATCGGCCAATTGGCTTCCCGAAGGCTTTCACCAACTGGCGTCATTTCGCCTCTCCGATTCCAGCGGGGAATAAGTTTGTTTTCATTTTTTATATTTTGTTTGTGCTTTGAAGTTTGTTTAGCGGTTAGATTTGTTTTCCGGGGTAGGGTTGCTAGCCCTATGCCCAACCTTCCCTCTTTACCCGGGCTTAGGACCGGCTAGTAACTAGTGAACTAGTTAACCAGGCGAGGTTACACAAAACTGATACTCTTTCATAATACCATGAATAGTTTAGTGCAAATTTATCCTCTGTCTTTTATTCTAGGATATATTTTGCACTACAGATGGTGATCGATGGAATAGATTGGATCAAGTGATACCTAGGTTGAAACCTAGACTACCGCCTGGTACTTTGGTTTGGGGACAACCAGTTTATGAATATGTTGTTAAGGTAATTTTCTCTTACTTTGCCACTGAATATTTTAAAAAAAGATATATTCTTCTTTAAAATTAATTGAATTGCAATACTGTCAGATCTCATACTTGTACTGCTCATTGTTGAAAAAGGTAAACTGTGTGAATGGATAACTAGGAGTTGCTGACGTCTGGAACTAGGTTAACTGTACAGGTTTTTGTGAGTAATTAACTTATCTTTTGAAAGATATTGTTTTGACAGGCAGTGTATCCAGTCTATTGCACTTCTGAGCACGATGTTAATGATCAAATTTGGGGTTTTCTTTACAACTGGATGTTCAGTTATCAGCATTGATTCATATTGCCTAATCTTGAGTGTTGACTTAAGCTATTAGACCTCGCCATTGTGGTCTATTTTGATTCATATTAATTATTTGGTGGCAAATGATGGGAAACCTAAGATGTGTATACTCGACTATTTTGGGACTACTAAAATATCCTTCACCTGGCGATTGGAAGAAGGGCTACCCTGTCAAACTCCCGAAGAAGGGAGAATTAAGTCTTTGCAAGAACTTGCGCAGAATCATACTCCTGTCCACCCCAAGCAAAATATTATGCCGCATCATCCTGGAGAGACTAAAAGATGTGCTGGATTCAAAACTACGACCGAAACAGGCTGGATTCAGAAAATACTAATCATTTGCGGATCAAATTGCAACGCTACGCTATGCATCATCATAGAACAAAGCATAAAATGGCAGTCAACTCTACCTCAACTTCATCCACTTTGAAAAGGCCTTCGATAGCGTCGCCCGAGAAGTAATTTGGAAACTGATTCGACGCTACAGAATAACACAAACCTTTATCAACCTCATTCAACAACTATATGAAGACGCCACATACCAAGTGATTCACAAGGGGAAGCTCAGTGATGCCTTTGAATTGGAGACAGGAGTGAAACAAGGCTATCTACTATCACCGATGATCTTCCTGATTGTGGTTGACTGGATCATGAAACAAACAGTGAGGAGCGAGAAAAGGGGCATATGCTGGACCGATGCAAAGAGCCTAGGAAAAGACTCGGATTTCGCCACCGATTATGATTTATGACTAATGTCGCACAAACTCAAAGATCTACAGGTGAAAACTAACAAGTTGTCAGAAGAGGTGAGGCAGCGAAGACGGGACTTCAAGTGAATATAGAGAAGACAGAGGTGATGAAGATACCCAACCAACAGCATCATCAACAACAAGCACCAATCACCATCCACAAGAGAAATCTAAAGGAAGCAGCCTTTTTCACTTATCTAGGCAGCATAGTTTCAACTACAGGCGGCGGCACAGACGAAGATATCAAAACCAGGATCAGAAAGACAACAAGACAGGCTTTCACTAATCTGAAATCAGTGTGGAGATCTACTGCACTCAGCATCAAGCTCGAGATCCGGATTTTTAACACTAATGTCACTTTAGTGCTGCTATATAGTTGAGAGACTTGGCTCGTTACGAAAAGGATTTCCAACAAATTACAAACATTCATCAACAACTGCCTACTCTGGCTCGTTGCTGGAGCAACAAGGAACTCTGGCTGGGTGGTAACGAACTAGCCAAGAACCTATCACTCAACAAATATGCAGAAGAGGAAATTGGAAATGGATTGGGCATGCACTGAGAAGACCGTTCGGGGACATCACGCGCTAGGCTGGGCACTCGAGTGGAACCCAAATGGGAAACGACGAGTTGGGCATCCGAGGTGAGGGTGACATACAGGAGATGGTGTGCGGAAGAAATGAGAGCTTGTGAGAAGTCATGGAGCCAGGTTGAAAAGATTGCTTTCTAAAATCCCTTTGTCAATCTAATAAAGCGAAATTAACGTTGTTGTTTTTTTGTTCTGAGCATATTTTGTCACTTTGGGTACTGTTATAAACCTTTAGGTTTCTACAAACATGCATATACAGTATTTTAAAGTCATACCCCACAACAGTTTAAGCCAATCATTATGTTTGCTAACTAGTACATATATGAAATTATATTTTTAATAGCTCTTTCAGGTCATATAGAGAGTTTTAAGTAATCTTGTTTTTCTCAGTTGAGGTTCCTAGTTGGTAGGAGATTTAGAAACGAGCATATTTCACGCTTACTCCAATTGCTATTTCTCATAAGTTAAACACTACTCAGTAATTATGATTGAAACTAACTAAGGTGAATGCGGTTTAGTATTTATGACAGAATTCGAATCAGGAGTCTCAATTTACGGATCTGGTATTCTATTAATTCAATTCTGTTACGACTCAGATATTCATCTAACCTTTAATTATCTATTTGTATGATAAAATGCCCAATAGGTTAATAAACAGAGAGATTTAGTGATGAAATCTTTTTCTCAACGATATCTTCAAGATTTTATTCCTGAAACAGATTCTTTAAACACTAGATCATAACCTAACATAATGTTTCATCTTTGACTACTACAAATATAGACTTTTTCACAAATTCAGCTTCATACTTAGTTATTCTGATGAAAGTTGATAGATGATTCTCTCACTTTCGACTAACTTACTGATTGATAGACTGATTATCTTATCTTTATTTTATCAATGAAGTTGCCTAGGCAACAGGATTTACTAGTGTATTTATTTTCGTAAGTGTACTATAAATCATGATAGTTGTTGAAAATTTCAGTCTGTAAGATTTCAATAAATTAAACTCACTTTGTCCCGACTTGTCATTGGAACTTCGAGAATACTTCTCGAAGCTAGTCACCAACGAGCACTAGTTCAATTAAATTTTGAGGGGGTTGTAGAGATTTGGAAATATTTCAAGTTGTTATTCATCGAAGACTGACATCAGTTGAAGGAACAAAGGAAACCTGTGAGCACTGGACAGCTGTTTCGTCCTAGTATGGGACTCCTCAGCAGTGCGCACCCCCGACCCCCACCAGCAGGGATCGAACCCGCGACCTTCAGGTTCCGCGACCAGCGCGTTACCATTGAGCTAGCCACTGGGTCAGAATCCAATCGTCCATATTTCCGTGAGGACAAATACTAAACTCACTTTATTAAATCATTAAAAATTTTCATTTATAATTAAAAATCGATTTTTAAATGAATAAAGAATATTCTTTTCGATAATATCTCTATTCACCAATGTACTTCTTGAGACAGTCAAGTGAACAGTTCATCAATGTTAGAATCTCGATAAAAATGTCCTCAAAAAAAAATTATTACTTAAATGTAAAATGAATATTAACTTTATATTTAAGGGTGAACTATATAGACAAGTGGATGGAGTTACAATAGAGCTCACCAATATGGTTTACTTGAACAATCTATCAGAGAATTTTCATTTTACTATCAATTTATAGTTGATACTTTCATCCTATGAGAAATCAACATAAACAGGTCAAAAATATTCAGTATATTCAATGTAGTACGCTCAGGATGAAATTTTAATATGACAAAGAGTCACAAGGCCGGAATACCTTTTCTCGATTTTCTCTCTAGACGAAAAGATGAGTCGATAACGAAAGATTTAGTTGAGAAAAATACGTGGATGGATCAATAGACACATTTTCTCAGCTTCATCTCCCTTCAGCGCAAAAGAAATTTACCAACAACTTTAAGTTACACAATAAAAGCTATATGTTAGGAAGATATAATTAAAGATGAACTGGAGACACTGCACAACATACTAGTCGAAAATATTTTCGATTATTATTTATCCCTTAGGTTCTTAGTGGAAAATACAGCTTCAGTAGCACATCTCCATTTCACTCTCCTCTCTGCAGTCTTTTCAACTTGTCTCGATGACTCCCCACAAGCTTTCATTTCTTTCTCAGACGCCTAACTCGTCGTTTCCCCATTGCATTCCACTCGAGGGACTGGCCTGGCACGTTATGTCCTCAATCGGTCTTCCAATTCATCTCCACTTCCTTCTTCTGCATATTTCTTCGGCGATACCTTCTTGGTTGGTTCGTTGCCAGGCAGCCAGAATTCCTTATTTATTCTTACTATTGTAGCCATCTGATCTTCACTATCGAGTAAGGGTAGGCGGTAGCTGTTGATGTGATGTATGTCTGCAGTTTGTTGGAAATGCTTTTCGTAACGCGCTAAGTCTCTCAACCATCACATAGAAACACTGACTTACTTGGCTGAATTAATGTTGAAAATCCGAATGTTGTTGACACTTTATGCTGAGTGCATTGCAGTGTAGTGAAGTGCAGTAGATCTCCACACTGATTATTTCAGACTAATGAAGGCCTGTCTTGCTTTTGCGATGCTGGCTTTCACATCTTCATCTATGCTGTCACCGCCTGTAGTTGAGACGATGCTGCCTGGGTAGGTAGGTTGGTGAAAGAGACAACTTCCTTTAGATTTCTCCCGTTGGTGGTGATTGATGCTTGTTGTTGATGCTGTTGGTTGGGTATCTTCATCACCTCTGTCTTCTTTATGTTCACTTAAAGTCCTGTCTTCACTGTCTCTTCTGTCAACTTGCTGGTTTTCGCCTGTAGATCTTCGAGTTTTTGCGACGTTGCTATATAGGGTCGAACACTCAATCACTCTACTTGCGACTCTTTATAACTAATTCACTTCTACTGACATGAACATCATCACCAAATTTCGATACAAAGTGAGCAAAGAATAATTTTTTCGGTAACTTTTTCTTCAGGTCCTACAGTTATAAGTGCATATTGAGGAATTACTCGTCAGCAGTATAGAGATTACACTTATCAGTAGTTTGAACACACATCTCGAGTTGTTTTATACTGATTGTTACTGCTTCATCAGTTTGAAGGATCCTAAACCGAGTACAGAATGCGAAATGACTCATTCTTATCCACTTTAAGGTTCGTTCCAACTAAATGTGCTAATATGCAGCTGGTAATGGTCTTTACTGCACCTTTACTTAACCACGCTAGGAGGTGTTCATGAGCATGAAAAATCAAATTCCTAGAGCAGTGGCTAACGTAACTAGCTCCACAGGAACAGTCGAACTGAAAAACACAACAGGAAGTGGCAAATCATTGTCAATTTTTACTATCTCAGATACTCGTCATTTGACACACTTGTATTGATACTGGGTGATAACCGAAGGTGAAATGAAAACTCAAGCCGCAGCAGGATACGAATCAGAGACCTCAAGGTTACTGATCCGGTGTCCTACCAACTGAATTACGCTATTCAACTGATGACGGGATCTTAATTCCACTTCAATCACCAAGGATTGTCCCTAACTGCTATAGGATTTCGTGACGCGTTACAATCGCTTGATCGTATTCACACTATCAGGTCAGGACTTCTGATGCCGATATATCAATTTATACTTGAATTACAAACTGGGGGCAAGCATCATATCGATTATTACCCATTATGTGTAATACAAGTCTGCCAAACCAAACGCTGTCTCTGATAGTCAGAATTATAATCAGTATGACGCTCCTTCTCTCTAATTCAAGTAGATTGCTATCGGCATAAGACGTCCTGACTGGGTAGTTAGTGTGAATACGATCAGGCGACTGTAACGCGTCACAAATTTACATGGTATTTGGACAAAACCTCCCCTTGTGATTGAAGTGAAATATTAACAAGGTCATCAGTTGGATCTCGTAGCTGAGTCGGTAGAGCATCGGGCCGGAAACGCGGAGGTTGTTGGTTCGAATCCGACCACGGTCCCAATTTCCATTTCACATTTATTCATCACCCACTATCAATATGATCTAATAAATGAACTGAAATGGAAGTGCCTAGTTTGATTATCTAAACTCTTACACATTGGATTTGACTAATTGTCTTCTGCATAAGTTGATACCAGATTGTTTGAGTTGCATTGCGTGCGAGTTATAATGATCTGGCATGTTATCTGTTGATCACTCTTACTAATGTTTGAGTTAACATAAATCTGCTTATTGATTTCTGATTGACATTCATCAAGAGGTAGTATTTACTCATGCTCTCTTTTGATACAATTGTGTGGGCGAAGCTACCTCGAAAGTTATGTGGTCGAATTGTAAACTGCAGGTTTGACATTATTATCAACTCACTTTTTTTTTTTCTCTATCGATCGAGGTTTCATGTGAAACCATTTGTAAAGGACAACAGATCTTGATCGCTATAAAAATAGCAAAATAAACATAACATACTACTAAAATATCATTAGTATACAGAAGTTACACAAAATAACTATAATTGAATTTTGAGGGAGTTGTGGAGATTTGGAAATATTTCAAGTTGTTTTTCATCGCAGACTGATATCAGCTGGAGGAACAAAGGAAACCTGGGACCACTGGACAGCTGTTTCGTCCTAGTATGGGACTCCTCCTCCTTTGTTCCTCCAGCTGATGTCAGTCTACGATGAACAACAACTTGAAATATTTCCAAATCTCTACAACTCCCTCAAAATTCAATTGAATTGGTGCTCATTGGTGATTAGCTTCGAACGATATTCATGAAGTTCCCATGAAAGGTGACCGGTGGGGGCAAAGGCTGATGGTTGTGAGGATAGTTACTCAACGGTGACACTGGGTGGCGGTTGCGCTATATCGTGAGCTAACAGAAGTTGGAAATATGGAGGATTGGATTCTGATGCAGTGGCTCAATGGTAACGCGCTGGCTACGGAACCTGAGGGTCGCGGGTTCGATCCCTGGTAGTGTGGAGTTGTGGGTGCGCACTGGTGAGGAGTCCCATGCAAGTGGGACGAAACAGCTGTTCACTGCTCCCAGGTTTCCTTTGTTCCCCCAACTGATGTCAGTCTACGATGAATAACAACTTGAAATTAACTATAAGTTTGATGATTGATATTATCACATGATCTAGGTAGAAGGTGATCATTTCAATTGTTTCTTAGCTTAACTGTGATCAATATTGTCACATTGAATAGATTTCGACTGGTGCCATGTCTTGGTTTAGTCACCGTAAGGTGTTCGACTAGCACCACCCTCCACTTAACGAGGTTTGACCAGCTAGTTAGCTGTATCCTTAGCCATCACACAAATGTGGTCCATTGTCTACTACACGATTGTGAACAAGGTTACTTAATTGATTTCGATTCGATAAACTTTAAAAATGGGTATTTCACGGAATGTTGTTTAAACAAGATAACCAAATTATATATTTGTTTGAACTCACGTAGTATATTATTATTATTTGTCCCTTGGGTTCTTAGTGGAACATACAGCTGCAGTAGCACGTCTCCACTTCACTCTGTTCTCTGCAATCTTCTTAACCTTGCTCCACGACTGCCCCTCAAACTCTCATTTCTTCCTCACACCATTTCCTGTATGTCACCCTCACCTCGGATGCCCAACTCGTCGTTTCCCATTTGGGTTCCACTCGAGTGCCCAGCCTGGCACGTGATGTCCTTGAATGGTCTTCTCAGTGTATGCCCAATCCATATCCTCATGTAGTATACAGAAAATAATATTGACTGATCTAAAGTTCTATTGTTTTTGTGCAAGCTGATATTTTTCAATCCCCCCCCCCCGCCCTAATGTTGTGGCAGAGAAACCTGCAACTGATCAGGGGGTAAGATTTCTTCTTTGTGTTAAACCTCTCCCTTACTTTATTCTTTTTTCTTTTTTCGTGACACAGGATATATATTTGTTCTCCCCTTTTCTTTTTTTTCAGAATGGATTAAGAAAACATGCCTTATTTATTTATGATGTTGTATGCATTTATGGCCGTGATTGTCGTAAATTAGCGTATAGAAAAAGGTGAGTATTTTGTTTAAATATTTCACCTATTTTGAATGTTAAATGTTTCAATATGAAATACACAATAAGTGAACTTCAATAAAAACTAAACATTTGAATTTAGGGGTTTGTGGAGATTTATTGATTGATTTCAAGTTGGTATTCATCATGGACTGACATCAGTTGGAGGAACATTGAAAACCTAAGAGTACTGGACACCTGTTTCGTCGTACTATGCTACTCATCAGTAGTGGCTCAGTTGTAACGTGCTGACCACGGAACCTGAAGGCACCGAGTTGGATCCTTGGCTAGTGGGATCAGGGGTGTTTTCTCCTGGAGAGTCGCATACTAGGACGAAACAGCTTTGCAGTGCTTTCAGGTTTTGCAATGTTTCTCCAAGTAATGTCAGTCTATGATGAATACCAACTTGAAGAAGCTAAACAAATTGATAAACTAAACTAGTAGTTTATTATAGTCTATTTGCTACGTGTTACAAGCGTGTTAGTTCTTTTAATCTCCATCTGTTTAGTTGGACGTATGAATCGCGTTTCATTTATCAATGTCTTTAGCCTTTGAATGGTTGATGCTGAACTGCACTCAGTAACCATATGCATACTGATGCTGTAGGTAATCAATCACAACTCTTTTCTGATGGTTAGTCGTATTATACACTACACCTTGCTGCTGGAACCTCGATAAGTGGATCAGGGTTCGAACCCTGTAACCCATTAATTGAAAGTTATCTGTGCAAATCAATTAGATACAGATCTACAAATGATCGGTATACTTGCATATCTGATAGCATGAATCAATTGGCGGTTATCAGCTTACAATATCATGAAATCATTCCTATTGTCTTCTGTACATATCCAACTGACTGACTAATTAATTGTATACCTTTTGTTCATTTTTGTTTAGAATGCAGCTTGCTGAACAAATGGCAAATATAGTGAATTACCCTGATATGACAGCATCAAATGTTCGTGTCCCACCATTTATAAAATTATCTGAACTTGGTGATTATATAAAGAAGTAAGTCTTTTCATTTTATCATTATCATTATTTCAGAAGTAGTATTCATCATGGACTGGTATCAGTTGGGGAACCATTGAAAATCTGGAAGTACTGGATAGCTGTTTCGTCCTAGTATGGAACTCCTCCTCAGCAGTACGCACCCATGATCCGTCTTAGGACCGAACTTAGGACCTTCAGGTTTCACGGTGAATGCGTTAACCATCCAACCACTGGCTCGGTTTCCAGTGGTTCACAATTTCCAACTTCTGTCAATTCATGATATAGCGCGACTATCATTGAAGGTCTTCAGTTAGCATCCATTTCACTTCCAACTGGTTTACTCCACAGGTCATCTCAAAAATACATTACTGTATTGTGCTCATCGGTGACTTGCTTCGAGATGGATATCACGAAGCTTGAATAAGAAGTCGTGACCTGTGGGGTCAAGCAGTGGGAAGTGAAGCGAATGCCAACTGAATGCCTTGGGTGATAGTCGCGCTATGTCGTGAATTGACAGAAGTCGGAAGTTGTGAACCACTGGAAACCAACCCAGTGACTGAATGGTTAACGCGTTTGCCGTGGAACCTGAAGGTCCTGAGTTCGATCCCTAGCCGGGTCGTGAGTGAGTGCTGTTGAGGAGTCCTATGCTAAGATGAAACAGCTGTCCAGTACTCTCAGGTCTTCAATATTTTCCCAACTGATGTCAGTCCGTGATGAATACTACTTCTAAATTAAAAAATCCCCATTCATCTTAAAAATACACTATCATTATTGTTAATTCCTTCGTGAAATTTATTTCCAGTTCACTTGAGATCTCCCCTTAGTTGATCTAGAGTAAACAGATGGCATAGTTGTGTTGGATGAAGATGCTGACAAGAAGCAGAGTATGTTTGAGATGCGTTTCTCACTATCCAAATGTAAATTATTGCTCCAAGACTACTGGGTCTAGCGATCTGTCTTACAATATAAAGTGAAATGATTGAAGGAATTAATCGCTTCATAATGTACAGAAAGTTAGACCACCCGTGTTAGATTGGTCAGTGACTGGCGACATTTGTACACCAGTACAAAATGACTCTACTAACTTTTATCAGTTCATGTCATCTACGACACCGGTGAAGTAACCGATTGCCTGCTAAGGAGTTTCGTATGAAACACACACTTGTCAAAGTTGATAGACACAGGAACGATTCAGGTGTTTGATCACTGTTTCCCTAAAAGCAGTGACCATACTTATGGAGCCACCATTTTAATAATGAAGTGGTTAGTCCTAGAGTTATAAGAAAAAAAGGAAAGTCAATTGATGATACTGCAAACCTTAGTTGAGTGAGGTGCTTAGGGCATATGCTACGCATAACTTAGTCGTCAATCATCTTGATATACGATGTAACCCAAATCAGGATTATGCTGAGAAAAAGTCCCTGGAATTCGAATGTTTGATTTATATAAGGACTTCTAGTTTGACGTTCGCATAACAATCGAAATCTATTGTAAGACTGAGTGTTCTGACTGAGAATTGATTATGGTCACACAGATGCATCAACACATTTTCATCCTAACCGTCATATCGCAATTTGTTACTGACTTTACCCCCTTCATCTTCTTATCCCTACTCCTCCATTTCTCGTTTTATTTCGTAATATCTTGATGTGGTGATGTGTGGTGTGACAACTTCAACTGTTAATCAGTAATATAAGGTCTCCTGTTGATGCTGACTGACTCATTTCATTGGAATACACAATTTTGACCTTGATCGTCGATTGACTGATCAAGCTTTACAACGTTGTGTCATGCGATATGATGTTCATGTTGCTTACCTCTATCGATGTGACTTTGTCCGCATTGAAGCTACTCTCGCATATTCGAGAATCGACCGATATCAACGACGATTGTCATTGGTATAAATTTGCTCCCGTATAGTACGTATGTGGATTAACTGACACTCCAGTACGTTGTAATCTGCTTGGTGGCTAGCAGTGAAATCCACGACTCACATTTCATCCTATTTGGGGCTTGGCAACTGGATTTACCTGCATCCAAGTCAGTGATGTTTTTCCCGCCGGGACTGGTTAACGGCAGAATCTCAGCTCAGACACATTGTCATTTGCCAACTTGCCTCATTTCTAGCATCGGTGAGATATTCGACTATGAGTATACAGCCCCACATTTCTCTCTATACTTTATACAGTTTTGAGAAATGGCTGTTAAAAGTAGAAGACATGAAGCGATTACGTTTATGGTGGAATCATGTTGTGAGAAGAGAACAACTCATTCTCCACTGTATTGAGCGGGTATATGTTGATGATGCAGCCAAACTTTGTAGTGTTTTTTCTCTCATTTACTTACAGTAAGAAAGAAGTAACTAGTCAATCAATATATGTAATTCAGTGCTACCGGAGGTCAGTCACTGTTTGAATAGCTCAGTGGTGACGTCTCTAACAGCTGCAAGACTAGGTGATGTGGGTTCAGGTCTGAAGCAGGACATCAGTTCCATGAAGGTTACAAATACACTTTGCTGACGAGTGCTAAAAGGCACTAGACCTAGGTCGAACAAGGCGTTTTGACGATTACCTCCACTTTCAAACTTAAAATTCAGGAGAAATAGGATTTTTGTATCACCTTCCTATTTATCAGTTTGAACAACTTATGAATGCGAACTAAACAAACCCTGTTAAAGCTTATGATACAATTTGGTCACCCAGTTCGTACTATTTGGAAGGTTGATATGAACACTTGTACAAGTGATCGGCTCCAGAACACCGGTTTATTATTCTTCTATAACTTCACTACCTTATTTATTCTATTCTGCGTGTAGCCATATCTGAGCATAGAGGTGCTTCGTTTCCTCTTCTGTTTCTCTATTGATTTGCTCTTCATACATTCTTATCAGCAGCATCTATTGTAATATGCCTGCGTTATCGCTTGCGTCGCTCTTGGCAGAATCTTTACCCATTGGTGGTGATTGCCTATGATTCCTGCCACCTTCTCAGCATATACTACTTATATCCATTCTTATCAGCAACGCCCATTACAGTATTTTTTCAATTATCTTCAGACTACCTCTTCTACCGTGTAAAGACTCTCCAACACTTGTACCTATGCACTGTTTACCAAATGGCTTCACATTTCAACCTCATTCTTTGTTATTAGTTCAGCATATGGCAGGTAAGCGATAAAAATGTTTATTTTACATTATTTTTACCTTCTCATTTGACTATTTATCATGTTTTATCCTAGTTAATTCGTTTCTCTTATTAGCTCCAACGTAAACCAATCCAAATTTTTCGCAAGATTTTACCTTGCAATATCTGTCTGTTGATTGGCTTGTGTTAATTGATATTGGTGTACTGCGTAGTGTATTGTCTGGTTTTTAATCTCAATTTATACCTTATTCAACACTGTTGATGTTGTTTTTTTGTTACATTTCAAACTGAATGTCTCGGTTGTATTGTGTTCGCTGGTTGGGTTGTTTAATTGTGGAGCTTTCATCCTCCCTCTAGACGATATCATCCATCACCACTAACTTCTCTATGGTGTCAGCTGTCAATATCCTCCCATCAGTCAGTGAGTGAGTCATTCAGTAACTTGCCCTGACCAACTACTTTCTGATTGGTGGTTATCTCCTTTGATTGTTATGTCATTCATTGACTGACTGTATAGATTTTACTGTTACCTATTCCTCTGCTTCACGTCTGACCTCTCTGTTGTTGATCACTTTTCTCATTCGTCGATAGATTGGGTCTATGTCAATACATTCATGTATTGACTGCTGATTGACCAACTGATTGACGTGAATGTCAAGCCTCTAGAAGTTCTCTCTTATTCTTTGTGTTTCCTCTCTCCATCCAAGATGAGTAGTACATTGTCGAAATTGAATTCATGTCTGTAGTTGTTATCCAGGTGGATTGGAATGAGTGGTGACTTATGTGTCATATGTGACGTTTAATAGTCAATTGGTGTTCATGTAAATGACGAAGGTGAAGTGGGCGACCAATTTATCCAATGTACTGTTGACTACAGTTATTGCAGTTAATTTTGTAGATGATATTCAGTTTGTCTTCTCTGACTGTTGTTGGATCCTTTTGTCTGCATAATAGTGTTTGTAGGGAATTTGTTGGTTTATGAGCCACACCAATTCCAAGTGGTTTCAGTAATGTTGTCGTGATTTCTGATATATTCTTTTTGTATGGTAGGATGATGCGTTTATTGATTAGTGTCGATGACTTTGTAGTTGTTGATGTACGGGATAGGTATCTTGTGATAAAGTTTGGTGGGTAGTCGTTCTTCTTTAGGATGCACATGAGGTAATTTTCTTCATTTCTCCTTGAAGTTGTTGTACTGCAGTGTATTGTCGTTGTTTTGAATAGAGTCTACACGCAACTGAATTTGTGTGTTGTTGGGTTGTTGCTACTGTAGTTGATGACTTGGTCAGTGTGTTGGTTGCCTGTACACTTGGGTTTTCAGCTTCCCCATATTTGTTGTATTGACCAGAACATCCAGGAATGGTAGTTGGTGGTTCGACTCCTTCTTCATTATTGAGGATTTGATCAGTTTGTGTTGGCTTCCTTTCCGAAAAAAAACCCAAGTGTACAGGAAGCCAACGCACATTGATCAAATTCTCAACTAAAGTAGCAACAACAGTTTGACGGAGAAACGATAAGCAGCTTACTAGGTCTTTTTTGTCAATAATCTACAGTAGGTTGTATAACTGGTCTGACATACAGATGTCTACTGGAGTGTTCATCTTCACTTCCAGGTACTTCATGAAGACATCAGATTCTGTTGAGAATCCTCACTGTTTGTGTAAATATCACTTCATTATCATTTCTGTTCATATCTCTTAATAAATCGTTTAAGATTCATAACACTGGGACATACAATCCACCCACAGTCCACATAGTTTGAACGGTTAACAGGATTTAGGAAGCCAAATAGTCATATATAGTTATGTCAGTGGCTGAATTCAATGCCTAGTTTTGTAAGAAAAGACCATTGACAAAAGTCTACTGAATCTCATGCTAACTTATTGAAAACGATGGTCATTTCTTGTTGTTGTTTCTCCTGATTCGTATCATTTCTATTCATCAAATGGAGAAGAACTCTGTTCCTTTTGATAGTGGTTACTTGCATAAAGCCAACTATGAGAATAAACATTGATCATAAACGTGATAAATCATAGTTGGAGAAGAGGTAAAATCAGGGAAATACACCATTAGGAATTTTTTGTTTGCCCCACTTGTAAATTGAAATATTCAATGTACATTTGTGTGAAGTCGACAGTGAGTTTAATCGTCATTTGACCTAGTGTTGTATTCATTTAGCTGGTGACCTGCAATCGAATGTGTGTAAAAACGTAAATGTTCCTTAGGTAGTATTGGAACTTACGAATCATCTACGTTGAATGATAAAGTTTCAAATAGAAACAAACGAATTATCTGTATAATCATCTCGAATGGTTATGAGTGGCAAAATACAGTATTTGGTAAAACTAGATACTTACTTACTGAAGGTGACATTAGACTGGGTCGATTAAGATGTATTGGAATAATGTCGGATTATGAAGATGGTGGATACGACAAAGTACATTGTGTCATTCAGCGTTGAACCAACTTAAGTGTGTACTAGCTTCCAGAGATTCTCACCAGAACATCTGATTGTTTTAGAATATACTAGAGTGGATTTTATTGGTTACTGTAATTATTTGAAAATATGTCTACCCTAATGAACTACTGGTTGGTGATAAAATTGGAACAAGACTACAAAAGGTCTGGTTTATCATTGAGCTAAAAACGTAATCTTTGTGATGTCAATGCAATTCTTTGTGGTATTCTTTTCTTGATGTGATAATGTCATTAAAGTTGAACGATATAATAAGAACTAGTTTTCAATTTTAAGTGTCCTCCGAGCATTATTTACTTGTTGAGGAACTACAGAGATAGTGAAGACGACAGTTCATTCAGTAATCGCAGAGACTTGAAAGTGTTATGCATACTGGTCAACATTTATTGTTTGACCTTTTGTGATACTACCCGATTACGTAATTCGAAGTAACTAGAAGGGGTTCGAGCTTAGAACCCTCACTGACTGAAAGTAAAGTGCTGAAGAAAATAAGACACTTCTCTGCTATCCACAAAAACTCTGATGACTAAACATCTGAGGTCTGTCTGCATCATTCACCTTCAACACAAAAGTTTCAATGAGGGTTGGAACACATTCTTATACTGTGTGATTATGAGTTAGTGTATCCAGAGTGATAGCCGAGTTTTTTTTCTAAATTACTTTTCGTAGTAGGCCCTAACATTGTATGTCTCCCTAAATCCTTGTGTTCTCTTATTCTGACTGACACATCCATCATCCAGATCAACCTAGAACCAGGCATTACTGCGTAACGGTCTGAGTTGCCACACCTCATATCAGTACATCAAGTAAAAAAGGCAGTGAGGCGCAAGATTAAGATAAGAGAATGCAGTCAAAGGAAATATAAAGTACGAAAAGAAAGAAACGAAGAATGAGAAAATGGTGAGATTCGGTATAGCGTTGTTAAGATGAGGATAATGTATGTATACATCGCCACTGACATCGGTTCTCAGCCATATCACGTAAAGTCTCCAAACATTATTTTCTCTTGTCCCATGACCCCAACGGCTAGTCTGCATCGCCCCACATGGCTCAAACTAACAGTCAAAGACTTCATACATTGGTGCCATGTTTTGTTTTAGTCTGGCCACCTCGGGCCTTTTTCCAACCTGATCGGCTACCTTGATCTATATACCTGACGTCACAATCATTACATAGCATCTGATAGATAGATTAGATTAGTTTTTCCTAACTGGTTGTGTTGGATCTTTTAGCGTGTAAAGTTTCTCTCTGAGGGAGTTTGTGGGTTTAAATGTCACCCTAATCCCAGTCAACATTGTTATGAATTCTACGTAAAATTTACACTGTGCCTTCTTTATACTGCAACACTACTCAGAGGATTTGAATTCTCTCTTAGGCATGTTGCAATCACCACTAACATGACTATTCTTTCTCTTGTTAGTCCTTATAAAGCTTTATAGTAAATTCCGAAGGATAGTTATTAAGAATAAGTGTCACTTTGATGTATTTCGTTTCTATACTTAGGCTTTGTGACTTACTAGTCAAGCTTCTAGCCCGATTAATGAGACATTTTGTCAAGTATACCTTGACAGATATGGGGTGAAGCGATATGAAATACAAGTATCTATTCGCATGTGTTTTGGTCTCTTCATTTTGCAATCCAGTATGGGTGGTAATTCTCCTTCTTCATTTTCTAATTCATGAGTGAATTGGATTGCATCTACTATCGAGTGACTGCGTGTGCAAAACACTCTGGGTGTGTTCTGATTTCAACACAGTGTAAATGTATCATCTATATATCGTCACTGTGCTTTCGGGGTGAGGTGGGTTGGGTCGGAATACCCTTAATGCTAATTGTTCCCAACTGTCTATAAATATATCTACTACGATTGGGTATATTGATGATCCCATCACTACTCCTTCTGTTTGTTGATACATTTTGTCTTAAAGTTTGAAAACTGTGGAAGTTAAACATAGTCTTATCTCTAGTATGATTTCATCAATCGAAACTTTATTTCTGTTAGTAAGTCTATGGCCAGTTGTGAGTTGATTTCTGACTGCTTCAAGTGCCATATTATCTGGTATATATTTGTATAGAGAGTCGTCACATGAGAACTGACCATCTTTTCTCCCTCGTCTAATTGTATATTATTTAGTCTGTGTCTCAGTTCAATTGAGTTGGTGAGCCTATGAGATACCATATAATGATTTCGAAGTCAGGTATATAACAGCCTATCTGGGTCAGTCAGAATAGCAGAACACAAACACTCGGCGAGACATGCAACGATAAACCCGAATAAAATAAGTAATCTAGAGGTAAATTCGTCTATCACTCTGCTTGCAGTGATCTGTAATTACACTACAGGGTGGTTGGAATGTGGGGTGACAATACTAAAATCCAATATAGCTGGCTAGATGAAGGGAGAGATTAACCACAGCACACCTAACACGTGTAACAGGGATAATTCATCGTCACATCGCAGATCTATGGAAGATATTATTACCATTAAAATAAATGAATGAATCGTTGGACTATACAAAAGAAGTGTGAATATGAGCGATAAATTGTGCTCGAAACGTCATCCAGTAAATTATACTGTATCACTGTGTGTACTACATCATCAAATAAATAAATCTACTATAGAGTTGAACTTATTCATTAAGTTAAATGATATCACTTGATGTTTGTTCTTTATTTATCAATGTTCCACTTGTTGAAACCGTTTGTTATCTATGTGATTACATTGATCCTAATAATATTAACTCTGGATTACCTACGGGTCACCTGAAAGAACTAATATTAAGATATACGTTTAATGTACGGTTTAGGTTCAATGATATAATTTATAATCAGACGGACGGTATCGCAATGGGGTCTCCACTAGGTCCTATCCTGGCTGATATCTTTATGGCAAAGCTTGAAAACGGAACTTTATTTGTATAAAAGGTATATGGACGACACTTTTCTTATTTGTGACGAAACATGTTCAGTGGACGAGCTGTTAAGACGTTTTAATGATTGTCACCCGTCCATTAAATTCACTGTAGAAGAAAAGTTAAACTGATCGTTCCACTTTCTAGACGTAAGGTTAAAGAGAAAGGATGATGGCTCAATTCAAAGGTCAGTCTATCGAAAACCAACTTGGACCGGTCAGTTCACTAACTTTGGTTGTAAGAGAAATTTCATTCACTCACTGTGGTCCAGAATCTGTAGAATATGTTCAGAAGATACGGTGGATACTGGGATCAAAACTCTTAGAACAACACTATTGAATAACGCATACCCTAAAAGATTTATTGATAAGAATCTGAAGAAACGAATCACTTCTGGTTGCATTACAGTTCCTATGGAAATTTCAACTATGAATCTAGAATTCAAAGGAGACACCACAGCAGAAGTGATGAAAAATCATCTGTCAAGGTGTATCAGTGGTAGGTTCTATGCTGCTAGACTGAGATTGATGTTCTCCACCCGCCGTCTAATTTGTCAATGCGTGAAGGATAGGCTACCCACTTATGTCCACATCTATGTGTGTCTACAAGTTCACATTCTCCTGTGAACGTTGTAAGCGGGTCCTTCGAAATCGTGTTGCTGAACACTGCCAGCTTTAGCTTACCACAGGCGAGCAAAGGAGAACGACTTCATCCATATGTAAACACCTTGTTGAATTTGGTCAATCAGCACCTCGAGATTCATTCTTTAAAATAATTTACAAAGTTAAATTGAACTACCTCAAAGGTTTACGTTTCCACTACTTATGGATTGCTAAAGCATTAGCTTCAAATGAACAAAAACCGAAACTTTGCATTGATAAACGTTTTGTGAAACCACTTTCTCTACCTAAACTCTCTACTCGAACACTTGTGGGCATGTTAGAGCCTATGGCGAGTTGTCCAGGGAGCTATACTCATCAAGTGGTGTCCGTGAAGGATGCCCACTATCCCCATTCTTATTTCATTTTATCATAGATATTCTTATGGAGGTTTCCCTCTCGTCACCTAATTACACAGACGTTGACCCAATCACAGGTGAATTTTCTTTAGATCTAGAATATGCACATGACATAGTCTTGTTAGGTGAAGACGCTGACAAGATGCAGAGTCTTCTGAACACTTTGAGTGGGAATTTGAAAATGTTTGGGATGTGATTTTCACCACCCAAATGGAAATTTTTGCTCCAGGACTGGTCTTCAGCTGTACCGCGGTTAACAATAGACAGCGAAGTGGTTGGGTGTGTTGACCACTTCACTTACCTGGGAAGTAGGATCAACCCTGGTGGGTTAGTTGCCGATGAGATTTCTGCACGGATACAAAAGGCTCAATTGGCTTTTGCCAATTTGCGCCACCTATGGCTCCGCCGTGATATTCGTTTGTCTATTAAGGGTCGCGTGTACTGCACAGCAGTCCGCTCTGTTCTACTGTATGGCTGTGAAACATGGCCATTGAAAGTGGAGGATACAAAAAGGCTTCAGGTGTTTGACCACCGTTGCCTTCGTAGTATAGGCCGTATTCTGTGGTGTCACCATGTGAGTAATGCAGAAGTTAGGTGTGGAGTTTTGGGGAGAAGAGGTAAGTTAGTTGACGAGGTTATGAACTTTCATCGACTGAGATGGTCGGGACACGTACTACGTATGCCTAGTCACCGATTGCCTCCTCACACAATGTTGGCTGAGGTGGGTCCAGACTGGAAAAAGGCCCGAGGTGGCCAGACTAAAACGTGGCACCAATGTATGAAGTCTCTGACTGTTGGTTTAAGCCATGTAGGACGATGCAGACTAGGTGGTTGGGGTTCACGGGACAAGAGGAACCAATGGTTGGAGACCCTAGGTGATCACATGGCTGAAAACCGATGTAAGTGGAGCAGATGTATACACATATTATCCTCATCTTAACAACACTATACTGAATCTCACCATTTTGTCACTCCTCTTTCTTTTCTTTTCGTACTTTATATTTCTTTTGATTGCATTCACTTATCTTCATCCTTCACCTCACTACCTTTTTACTTGATGTGCTGATATGAGGTGTGGCAACTCGGACTGTTACGCAGTAATGCCTGGTCCTATGTTGATAATGATGATGATGACTTTCTCTACCTTGGCCTTAACAATTCATTTTGTTTATTTTGTCAATTTCAGTTCATTTCACTTTGGTATACTTCTCTTCTTTTATCACCATTATCACCAATTATTACTTCATCGACAAAACTTGAACCGTATTTCACTAATTCATATCAATTCATTCCTTATTCATTAATCTATTCTACAGGTTTCAGTTAAATTATCACCGTTTCACAATTCTTTGATAACACTTGTCTCTTATCTCACCACTTGTCATCACTTCCTCCCTCCCTATTCAGTGATCCATTTTTCTATTTCTTCCACTTGAACAAATACGGCCACCTACATGGATTGTATATGTTGCATATTGACTGAGCAACTGACTTATCAGTGCAATTGTCTGTCACTTTACTGAGTATAAATACTACTGTACATCTTGGCAATGAAGTCGTTGAAAAGAAATACTTCTTCCTCACTGATACCATGTCTTGTTCTTGTAAATGATAATTATATTTGTGTATTTCTTACAGAGAATTGGGTGGAGGCAGTTAGTCGAAGTACTGGAAAGGTTTATTACTTCAATCGATCAACTTCTGAGTCAACTTTTAGTTTACCTAAAAGTGAACAACTTACATTCACGTAGGTTTTTTTTCCCTTAGCTAACTGCATTTCTTTTATTCATTATCAGTTAAAGTATACTTAAACTGATTTCCTTAGTCTAAAATTTAGCTATTCAATTACAATACTGTAAAACGGTACTGTCGTCTTTCTAATTTTTTGAGATGTAAATCTTCAATGACTAACATCGTGCACCTCATACTTATAGCTAATGGCTTCATCTTTTTTATCTAGTCTCATAAAAGGCAAATATCTGACGAGTACTTCATAAGCAATACGTAACTGATTTACTTATCAATGCAACCCAATTACTCACCATTCCCGTGGATTTTGTTTGTATGCTGAACCAAACCGGGTAATCTCATTTACTACATAGATATCTTCATATATCGTAGAGATTGATTATTATGCATGTTGATTAGTAATGCATGAAAGTGGAATTCAGGATGTATACCTTGTCCTATTCTGAACTCGTCTGGTGAATATACTTCACTGTCGTGAGTCTTGGTGTCCCCCCCCTGAGCTGACGATTCTCAGATGGGACGAAACCTGCGTTCTCGATTCCACTACTAGCTACTACCAATCAAAACACATCAAAAGAATCAAGTTGTTACGTTTCATCTCGTTTCAAACAGATTGTTGTTGTTTTTATAGTCAGAAGGATTACTTCCTCTCGTTGTGAAAGTCAACATTTGACATTTACTATTCAATAAGACTGACTATCCACAGTTATAGAAAATCCTCGATAATCTAGCAACATTTAACGCACTCATCATCATTATTATTATCAATATAGGACAAGACATTACTGTATAACAGTCCAAGTTACCAGCCACACTTCATATTAGCACATCAAGCATCACAAAGCAATAAGACGAGAAATAAAGAAGATTCGATGGAAAGCAGTAAGTAAAAGAGAGGAGGAAGGAATAAGAAAACTCTGAATTCAGAATACAGGTTAAAATGAAGACTAAATGTGTATGTCACTCGGACTCCCCCCCCCCCACCCAGAATACTAATTTTATCACATTAAGTATTTATTGAAAATCGATCATAAAGACTCATTGAGTGAAGAATTTTATGACTGTTGACAAGTGTTGATTAGTGATCACTGTGTTTAATTCAACCTTTATTTATTTGTGTTTTTTTTTCCATTCTATCCCGCCATGATTTCTCTTAGTGATACCTATTACATAAAACTGCTGTGGAAATCAGAACAGAAGTATTGTCCAACTGTTATGACTTTGGTACAATATTTAGAACAAATGACAAATATCTGTCAATAATTAGTTGATTTTCAGATTTTATACTTTGCCCATCCCCCCTTCCCCCTCCCACCATCATCATCACCTTTCCATGTCTGTAATTTTTGATGCCTGTCTCTTGATATATATATATATATATATATATATATATATATATATATATATATATAAATTTTCTTAAATTGATCAAAGGAAAATGTCGTTGAAACTATTAGTCCATTTTACAATATGTCTGTGTGTGTGTGTATATGTGTGTGTGTGTGTGATGTATTTGTGCATCACTTTTCGAATAATCTGATCACACATCTACTTGTCAACTCCAATTCCTAGAGAATTGAAGGATTATTGTTATTATTATTAGTCCCTTGGGTTCCTAATGAAACATAGGGCTTCAGTAGCACGTCTCCAGTGAACTCTGTTCTCTGAAATCTTTTCAACCTGGCTCCACGACAGCCCTCTCATTTCCTCCTCGCCCGATCTCCTCCATGTCACCCTTCGACATCCAACTCGTCGCTTCCCATGGGGATTCCACTCGAGGGACTGGCCTGACACGTGATGTCCCCAGTCGGTCTTCTCAGTGTATACCCAATCCACCTCCACTTCTTCCTGCATATTTGTTCAGGGATAGGTTCTTGGTCGGTTCGTTCCCAGAGCTCCTTGTTGCTTATTCTTATCATTTTGGCTATCTGATCTTCAGTAGCGAGCGTAAGCAGTTGTTGATGAATGTCTGTAGTTTATTAGAAATCCCTTTCGTAAGGCGCCAAGTCTCTGAACCATACACAAGCACTGGCTTGACTGACGTTGGTGTTGAAGATCCGGATGTTGTTCCACATGTTGAGTGGAGTGCAGAAGATCTCCACACTGGTTTCAGGCTAATGAACACCTGTCTTGCTTTTTCAATTCTGACTTTGACATCCTCGTCTGTCCCGCCTGTAGTTGAAACAGTGCTGTTTAGATAGGTGAAGGAGGTTACTTCCTTTAAGTTTCTCCCGTTGATGGTGATTGGAGTTTGTTGTTGGTGGTGGTGCGGTATCTTCTGAATTGGAAGATGGGTAGACAAATAGTTTGTAGGTCAGCAAACTTTACGAAAGGTTGGTGTAATGTCCATTTTTATTATCATTAGAACACAAACGTGACACTGCAAGAGCACCAAGAAATGCGCCACACAACATAATATAACAACACGATGAAGTCATAAATCGAATGGGGAGAGGATAGGTAAAAAAGCAGAACACAATAAGAATAGGATGACTAGAAGGTAATCCGATGTGATATATTTTAAACAAAACTCATTCTGATAACGTCTCAAGTCACTGAGTTGCATGATCTCTCAGACTCTACCCAGAGAGTCGTGATGTACAGATACGTGCTAACCCGATACAACTATTCTCCATCTCACGACCCCAAGCCGTACACTGACTAACCCTCTGTTTCCTTCATCCAGCCTTACGGGAAGCAAACAGTAGACGATATGGAAGCTGTTTAGGCGACATGCGTAACACATTCAAGCCGCCGAAGCTGGTTTTTCCAGATGACTTCACTTATTGAATGACGATTTCCATTATGCCCAAACACATGCTGTTGTACCTCAGAATTACTTACATTGTGTTACTACTAGATACGATCAACGATGGTCGAATATACAGAGTCGTTGCACATCCTCAGCTTGGAGATGGCAGGTTTTACAGGCGTAGAGGAGAACTGCTCTCATCGAAGCGTTGTAAACCCGGCCTTTTACGGTCAGACTATCTTTGCGACCGTGCCAAAGGTGGCCCATATTGGCGTATACCACTCTGGCTTTGGACATGCATTTGAAAATTTCACCACTCATATCGCCAGCAGTCACACGACTACCTACATACACAAACCTTTCAGGTACTTCTAACAGTTTACCACCAAGAGTAAGCTCAGGCACAGGCTCTTACCAACCTTTCAAAAGTACTATGCACTTTAATGGGGCAAAGCACAAACCATACCTACGGATATATGTAGTGTGTAAGAACAAACTATGTTTTTAGTCAATTTGCTTATGGCTATTCTGCAAACGTTGTTCGGACAATAATTGTTTGACCGGTTTCTGTAATATGTTTAGCTATACATCAAGAGAGTTGTCTCCTGTTTAGGCTAATCAAAGTTTCACACTCCAGCTATTTTTGAAGCCATTTAGGTACATGATCTACTCAGCTCAACTGCATGCCCCGGTCAATCTTCACTATGTATGTGCATCCACACACGCACATGTAGGATAGTAGTAATCACAAAGGGATGTGACGTAATCACTTCTGTGGTGTTTAGGTTTGTGATGAAGCACATGCTTTGTATCTCCCACAACAATAAACCGCATAATGTTTTACTAATTGCAAAATGTTAGCCTACCTCTCAAAATCATACTGTTCAACTCCGTTCACTTATGGTAGGGTGATATATAGGTGCTTTTCTTCGGAACCTAGTGTGGAGTAGACTTCGGTATTGACTGACTTCTGCAACAGCTTTTATATCACTAACTACTGAATAACTCATGAAATAATGTCTTGACTGTTGATGCTGGAAAGAATCAAGTTCCGTTAACTAACATCTTCAGATATCTCCGCTTACACCAACAGCTGTATAAAACTGAAAAACATTGATTTGATAGTTGTAAAGTCCTCGTGGCCTTATCTACCCAAAGTTTCACTAAACAAATACACATGCAATCAAAGTACATCCTTCCATAGAAGTTCATCAATCGAAGTTGCCACAGTAGCATACATATCAAATTATATTCAAGGTGATATATACTACTGGGAACTTATTAAACATATCCGTTATTTGTAGTAGGATGAATTCAAGTTCTACAGTCATCATTACGAGGCAGCGAAGGCGGGACTTCAAGCGAACATAGAGAGGATAGAGGTGATGAAGATACCAGACCAACAATAACAAGCTCCAATCACCACCAACGGGAGAAACCTAAAGAAAGTAGCCTCTTTCACCTATCTAGGTAGCACTGTTTCAACTACAGGCGGTGGCACAGACGAGGCTGTGAAAGCCAGGATCGGGAAAGCAAAATAGACGTTCATTAGCCTGAAACCAGTGTGAAAATCTACTGCACTCCACTCAGCATAAAGCGTGAACAACATCCGGTTATTCAACACCAACGTCAACTGAGTCAGTGCTTCTAAATAGTTCAGAGACTTGGCGCTTTGCGAAAGGCATTTCCAACAAACTACAGACATTCGTCAGCAACTGCCTACACTGGCTCGTTACTGAAGCTCAGATTTCGGAAATAATGAGAATGAGCAACAAGAGACTCTGGCAACGAGCCAACTTAGAAGGTATCGCTGAACAAATATGCAGAAGGAAGTGGAGATGGATCGAATAGCATTGGGCAAACACTGAGAAGACCGAGTGGGGACACTACGCACCAGGCTAGGCACTTGAGTAGAACCCAGATGGGAAACGACGAGGTGGGCGTCCGAGGTGAGGGTGACATGGAGGAGATGGTGTGAGGAAGAAGTGAGAGCTTGTGGGCAGACATGGAGGCAGGTTGAAAAGATTGCAGAGAAGAGAGTGGAATGGAGACATGCTACTGAATCCCTATGTTCCACTAGGAACCCAAAGGACAAATAATATAAATAATAGTCATTACATTTGCTTTGAGCAGATATTTCCATGCTAAAATTAGAAATCCTCACGCTTAACTGATCTATCCAACTGGTGTTATTTTCTTTCAATTGATGACGTCATTCTTCCATCACTTTCTAAGTAGATATGGAATCTCATTTAAAGATGTCGTTTCCCGAACTCGTGGAATTTCCTCACCGTACAAACAAGAAAGTGAAATATGTTCCTGAGATCGATGTTCATCGATAAATTTAGAAACACAAATGGTTCACCAGACATCTGTAAATGATGAGAAATAGTAGGTGCTTTTGAACTTGTAGATTTAAGGAGAACATTGAAAGTGAAAGTTCAACGTATAATCAGATGAGTGCTGTCGAAAAGACAATGAATACATCCACTCTATAGATCTGTATTATTGTATGCCTGTCAGTGAATATGTATTTTAGAATACATGATGTCATTACTGGCTACTTTGACGTGTATATTTAAACCCAACAGGTACTTGTTTCGTAAAGATAGATTGTTCAACGATGATACTAGTCACTTCAGCCTGACTTATGAATGTAGATTTACCATGAATCTTGTTTGTCTGACAGTGAACAGTTTAAGAAGATCCACTTATTTAAGCCTGCAAAACAGAATACCACAGAGTTAATACTAGCAATATTTATCCTTCATTACAAGGACATCTGCATACCAAAAAAGGTGGTAATCAGTATTCTCATTATAGCCACCTGAAATTAAATGTTATAGTTATAAGATGTTGTTATCGTTAAGGTATCTACTTTGTTAACTAGTAAGACAGTTGTAATCAAATGAAGCTTATCAAACGAGTTGATTGCCCATCAAAGTGTCAATTAATGAAATCAATTATAACAACAGAAAAGTGCTCATACAATCGAGATATGAGTTAATCCCCTCGCTATAAAACTGGTTGTAGTTATCAACAGCATATGATACTGCTGCTTCCGTCTTATCAAGTGATTAATCTCGTATGTAATTGCTCAGTCTTGTATACTCAATTCATTCCCCCGTTTCTGCCCTCCTAACTGTGTACAACAGAACAAAAAGACTAGTGGTTATTGATCAAATCTTTCAGGTGATCCAATTGATCTCTATATATAAAACTCATTTACTTGACCACAACGCACCATAATTTATAAAAATGAAACAACCAATTTCAAGCAGAAAATATAGGATAATGCATAACAATGGTTTCACTTAACTTACAGTTATTGATGAGGGGTCAATCGAAAGCCCTTGAACCAAGCTGTAGAATGATGTTACCAATAAGGTCATAAGTAAAACAACTATTTTTTTTCCATTACTCATTGTTTTCAGCAGTATATCTATCCAATTTTGGAATTGTGAACTATTTCTGTTTGAATTCAAGTGAAAGCAGAACTCATTCACATTGAGGCACACAGAATTCTGTTATGATAATAAGATATATAGAGGTTATATTGAGCTAGATTAACCATTAAAAGGCAATGAGCTAATCGTGATTGGTTAGTGAGATAAACGGACAAATAA